AAACGTATAAATAACAGTTGTCTGTATTTTGTTTAACACATTTAAATATCCTCTATATTTTATATTTACTATTACATTTATATTTCTCCAAAATATTAGATTCTTGTTATTATTTTAGGGTCACGAGTACATTTTAATGCATATCATACTGTGTGTGACTCTGTATGTGACAAATAAAACTGGAGTTTGACTTATGATAGATGAAAATATATTAAATGAGACCTCCATGACTAAATTAGCCGGCAGCTAGCTCTCTGCAACTCTCACATGGTGGCCCACTGAAGCTAAGCAGGGCTGCGCCCGGTCAGTACCTGGATGGGAGACCACATGGGAAAGCTAGGTTGCTGCCGGAAGTGGTGTTAGTGAGGCCAGCAGGGGGCGCCCAACCTGCGGTCTGTGTGGGTCCTAATGCCCCAGTATAGTGACAGGGACGCTATACTGCTCAGTGAGCGCCGTCTTTCGGATGAGACGTTAAACGGAGGTCCCGACTCTCTGTGGTCGTTAAAAATCCCAGGATGTCCTTCGAAAAGAGTAGGGGTTTAACCCCGGCATCCTGGCCAAATCTGCCCACTGGCCTTTGTCCATCATGGCCTCCTAACCATCCCCATATTCAATTGGCTGCATCATCTCTGTCTCCTCTCCACCAATCAGCTGGTGTGTGGTGTGCGGTCTGGCGCAAAATGGCTGCCGTCGCGTCATCCAGGTGGATGCTGCACACTGGTGGTGGATGAGGAGATTCCCCCCACTGTGTAAAGTGCTTTGAGTGCCCAGAAAAGCGCTATATAAATGTAAGGAATTATTATTATTATTAAATTGGAAAAGGATTAAAGGGTTAAGTTTTGTGTGCCAAAAAAACTCTTCTTTTCAGCCTTTTCAGGTCCCGTTGTGTGTTGTTTACTACCATGTTTGTGTGTTCTGCCTCTAATGGCAATGCATTGTGCTTGCTATAGTAAATGTACACCCTGACCTGTGGAGGAAGAGAAAACATTGATGAACAAAATCTTTTTTAATGTTTGATTTTTTTTTTTTTTTTGGCTTGGAGTTTCATATGATTCCAGTTCAGTCACTGAAGTCACATGGAATATTTTTTGGCAATGTTTTTGTTTTGTTTTTCTGGACATTGAATGTCTCGGGACCACTGCTGTCTATGGAGTCAGAGAGCTCCAGGATTTCATCTAAAACATCTTCATGTGTTCTGAAGACGAACAAAGGTGTCAGGGGTTTGGAACAGGAGGGTGAATAATTAAAGACAAAATGTACATTTTGGGGTGATGTAGTTCTGCACATTTAGATATTTTGTTTGTATTATGACTAAATATGTTGGATTTACGAGTCAAAGCTGGTTTCAATTGACTATAAAATCTTGATTTTATTTTGCATCGTGAAGTTATGTATAGTCTGTAAAATATCGTCAAAGCCGTCGTTGTCTAACGATTGATTGTTCTGTAGACAATTAAAAATATATATTGTTTAAGGGGGCTAATAATATCGACCTTAAAATGGTTTCTCTATAGAGTCAGAGAGCTCCAGGATTTCATCTAAATATCTTCTTTTGTCTTATGAAGATGAACGAAGGTTTCAGGGGTTTGAAACAACATGAAAGTGAATAATTAAATGATACAATGTAAATTTTGGGGGGAACTAACCCTTTAAAACAGCATTACAGACCATTTGGAATTTATAATTGATCATAATGCTGTATGATGGATTTGAAACCAAGATTTAAAATTAAATAGATGAATACATTTGTTTTCCCCAAATTTCTGTTTGACAGAAAAAAGATTTCAACACATTTCTAAACATAATAATTTTAACAACTCATTTCAATTGTCCTTGCCATGATTACATATTTTACCAGATATTTTTCAAGATACTAGCATTCAGCTTAAAAATACCATTAAAAGGCAAGTTAGGGCTATTAAGTAAGTCATTGTGCAATGATGGTTTGTTCTATAGACAATTGAAAAAAAAAAAAAAACATTACTTAAGGAGGCTAATAATATTGACCTTTAATTGTTTTCTAAAAATTAAATATGCTTTTATTCTAGCTGATATAAAACAAGTAAGAAAAAATACTATAGGAAATACTGTGAAAACGTACTTGCTCTAATTGGGAAATATTTATACAAAATAATATATCTAAGAATAAAATGAAATCCTGAATCTTCCGTCATTTACATAAGGATTTAAAGCTAATCCTTCTCATTCTTCAGGAGTCTCGTCTCTCCACAAGCTCCAAACATCTGAAAGTATAAACATCATTACCGCAAACCTAACAAACAGCTGGACGCCTAATCAAAGAGCCCAGACGAAAGGTCAGCGCGCAATGTCCAATCTCTCTATCTGTCTCTTTTTACCCTTTAGAGCAGAAGTAATGACAGGTAGACAGAAAGAGATAAACACCCAGTAATTACCGTTTGCGTAAAGGCAGATGAGATTCATTTAGGAAGAATGACCTTTAAATATGCACTGACATAATCATTTAATTTGGTTCCACTGGGTCTCCGATAAAAAAATGCCACCTTGGGGCAACTATTTAGGGACATTTATTACAGGTAAATTTGATGAATGCCAGTCCTGACTGCTCAAAGTGTAGCCTATTAGGTTCTTGTCATCTTTGTTAATAGTTCAGGATCTCTATAGTTAGTTTTCACATTCAAATGTCAACAGACTGAACAGTTCGAATGTGTGGGGTTGGTGAGGCTTTGTTTTTAAATGTCATTAATGGACATCATATTTGATACAAGCATAAAAATAAATGAAAAATAAATATGAAAAAATGAGTTATGTGTAATAACAATGAAATGACACAAGGAGAATGTACTTAACTAAGTCATAAGAGTTTTCTTGACTGTGTTTCGGATCATTTTCTTGCTGAAATGTCCACTCTGGTTTCATCTTCATCATATTGATAATGCAGATGCTGGACTGAAGCAGCCAATATTCATATAGAGTGTCGAATGGCATGGGGGTTACTGAATACCTACAGAGATTTCAGCAGCTATCTGGGCTTTCACTGCCTTTCTACACCTACCTTTCTTCCTCACATACATTTTCCTGTGTCATATCATTTAGTTACAAATAACTTAATTTCTAAACCAATTCGAAGTGTTTTCTTTGCATATGTGGATTTATTTGATTGTTACCAACATCTGGCGAACATTAAGTCAACAACACCTTTAGAAATATGTTTTTTTCAGAAAGATGACCACCACATATTTCTCCCATTGTGTGTATAAATAACTGACCGCAAAACCAGTCATAATTGTAATTTACATTGCATTAAAGCTGAATAAATAAGCTTTTTAAGGTGTTAGGATTGATAATCTGAAATCTGACGTTGCAAAAACATTGAAATGCTGTAAAAATGTCCCTAAAGATGTCTAAATGAAGTAGCAATGCAAATTTGTAATCAAAAATTGTTGTTTGATATATTTACAGTAGACTATTTATAAAATGTCTTAATGGAATGATGCCCCGCTCTCTACAGTAGCCAATCAGCTATCGCTATAGAATTACAATTCTCCGGAGGAGAGGAGAGGCTCGGACCAGACATGAGTTTCTGCAGATTTCGTGTGATATGAACATTTAGAAATGAAATGAAACAGTTGATGTTTTATTTTATTGGTAATTTATAATATGAAATGTAATCGTAAGCTTGGCAAGTAGTTTTGGAGAATTTTTTGTTTCCCTATCCGCTTGTTAAGTGTGACGTCACGCGAAGGGGCTCTATGAAACTGAATGAGGAGACTCATTAAATACTAATAATAAACGTTTACAAAGCGATGTAATACTTTCAAAAATCACGATCACAATTGTGACGAGTCTCTTTGACCAACCCACTGATCGGCCGGGAAGGACAGAGACTCATCTGCTCAATTGGGAACACCTGAGTTCCCCTCTATAAAAGCCAGCAGTGTTGGCTTGTGAAGGGGCCGTGCTTTTGCTCCTGTTTGTTTTGTTTTGTTTCTTTTTAGCTTTGGTTAATTTTTGATTTTGGCTTACCTAAAGTGAGCACTTTAATATTCTTTAATGTTTAAATAAATACTTTTGGTACCAAACCATCTGGTGTATGTCCTCCCTTTAATTTTGTCATCGCCTTTGAGCCGGGTCGTGACACAATATATATGTCCATGGCTAATATCCGATGGCCAGAAAGTGATTTATGTTTTTATAAATTGTTAATTTTGATATTTGTGATGCAGCAAGCCCAGAGACTGTTGTGTACCCCATGGTTTTATTTAAAATTCACTTTAATGTGTGATATGAATAAAAAGTGGTCATAAACTAATACTTTCTCAATCAAATGAGTAGCGGCTTGGACCTGGAAACAGTATTACATACGTCACCAACACGTCACCACTTAACAAGCGGATTCAAACAGAATGCCTGAGCATACTGCCCGAGAGGAATGACTTGCCTTAAAAGGACTTTGAAGTGACTCTGATGGCCAAGAATTAAGATTATAAAGTAAATTGACCTCCTTGACTAATCATCTCTTCTTTCTGCTTCAAAAATCTTACAGGAACCATATGCTTATTCAAAATAAAATCATCATCACACTACTTAAATATTAGTCTCAAATTCAGCTACAATGGTTACATGGTTCAATGGTTACAATCGTGTTTTGATTTGGTTATATATAGAGAACTACATCTTTATTCTGGGATTACCACTATTTATTAATACGCTTGCATATGAAGTAAATCATAACTCAATTTACTGGGGCATGGACCTTTTACCGCAAGTAAAAGTGGTTTAGTGATGCCTGTGGATCCAATCATGTTAATACAAGTTGTATTCAAGTTGTATTTCTTAATATTTCTGAACTATGGACCATTTATTCAACTTAAAGTAAAAAATACAGTACTTATTTGTAACTAAAAATCTTTTTTAACGTAATAATTTTGTGCAAAATCTTGCTTAAAACTTATTGACGCCAACCTTCGTGAATCATTATGGACGATTCAGTAGCACGAAAAAACGAGAGCAGAGAACAATTTCTCTTCAAGAATTCATTGTACAACAAAGAGAATATACATAGTGCAGTGCATATACACATAACAGTATACACACTATAAAGTGAGAGAGGAAGAACAGACTGAGAAACAGTACACAAAGAAGCATCTTTTTTTCCATCATATTTCCATTTGAAGTGTATCTTGCATGATGATCACACAACAGATGAGAGATTTAAGGAGTAAAATTATAAATATGTGTGCATTGCTGCTTCTGTATATGTGCATGTATTTGGATGTGTATCTATATTTCTGCTGGCTCTGTGCAAGAATTACCTTGCAATCCAAATATGGGCGACACTGTAATATGGCGAAAAATTCAGCGCAAGATATATATTCAGACATTTATCTTCCTCCATGGGCTTCCCTAAGACATATAATAAAAGAGTAAAACATTTTTAGCGACATTAAAATACAGTATATTCATGTAAAACCGAAGCTATCATAGACGTGCATGCATAAAAAGTCACTTTACAACTTATGATCTGACCGTTTAATGATGCTTGAGTGCCCAATCAAGATCTGAATCCAGTTTTAGGTTCAATATGATGAAAGATCATGCCGATTATCTGTATTCCTGTAAAGTTTACTCATTTCAAAAGATCAAAACACCGTCTCTATATGCCAACAGCTCGGAATATGCTTCATGTCTGCGAACACACTGGACATTCATTGCAATACAAATGACTGGCTTTTTTCCTATTCCTAAAAAATAGATGTGGCAACAATACAGTCATGGCCAAAAGTTTGCAGTTTAAACATGTTGAAAGCTCTTTCAAAGTTTAAAACCATTCAAATCAACATGTAATAAAAAAATAAAACATTTAAATATTTTTTCCTGCTTAATTTTGGTCTCGATTTTAGTCCAAATATATAAAAAAAATCTTAAATCAAGTAGTATTTTTTGACAAATAAAAAATATTGTTTTGCTTTTAGGTATAATGAGTAAAAATTCTTATATTTTTTGCAAAATAATCTGCCAATGGGTTAAGTAAGATACTAATTTGAAATCAAAAACATTTTACTCACCCTAATGGCAGATTATTTTGCTTGTTTGACAGAAAAATCTAACTTAATTTCGACTAAATATTTTTGAAAACATACAAAATTTCTTACTTGTCTAGAAGATGCTTCTTGTTTTAAAGGGCACCTATGATGAAAAAGAACTTTTGGAAGCTGTTTGGACAGAACTGTGTTTAGATATAGTGTGTCCACTGCCATATTGGAGTTCTGTAGACCCAAGAAGTCTGTTTTTTTAATATTTCCTGATGTTAAAATAGGACCCAAATCCTAGTGATTGTGAGGCCCACCACATTGTCAAGTAGAAATGCAGTTTTCCCCACCCACTGAATTGATTGACAGGCACCATGTTTCTATAATAACTGTCAATTTTTTGCAAAGAAACTGGGACTGAATTATCTGTTACAATTCTCTGTGATTTGTATAAGTTTTATCAGTTTAAAACATTTTTAAAACAGAGCATGTTTGTAATAATTATTTTTAAAATGTTTAGGGTTAATAAAGACAGTGGAGATTAACAGACAGGAAAGTATGGGGAGCAGAGAAGGGGGAAGCATCGGCCAGGAATTGTACTCGGCATATATATGTGTGTACTGCAAACGGCATTTGTGTGAGACTCATCATTTCAGAAAGGCTTAAATAAACTCCTCCACAAATACATGTAATAAACTTACTTGGTATTTTTGACTAATGGAGCTGTATTTCAGCTTTATCAGTGTCTGTCTCTATCACTGATGTCTGTTTAGCTGACGTACTGCATGATGAGAAGCTGTTACGACTAAAGTATTTGTTTATTTTTTGTTGCGCATTGCATGTGTCTTGCATGTGTTCCGCATTTTCTGTTGTTTTCTGTTATTCCATAGAATCCCATTCTAATGTGATCCAAGCTCTGATTGACTGCTGGTCGCAGAGGCCTATTAAAAGGAACTTACGGAAGGGTTCGGGGAGCTCATTTGTGGTGCAAGGGTTGCTGGGAGTGGAGAGCTTCTGGATTTTCCCTACCTCTCCGGCAGACGACCAACCTTTAGTCTTGTACAACTGTTCATGCTTGCAACGTTTTGAGAGTTTGAGCTTGTAGAGGTGGCCTGCCTATTTATTTGATTACTTTTGACTGTTTATATTTAAGGAGGAAGGTAAGCTTCTTGTATTTTTCTTTAAATATACATAAGTAATTTAGTTCATTTACTTTGTCTTTTGTTTGTTATTTTGGCCTATTTTTCTATAATAAATCTATCAACCACTCTCATCTGAATGTCCGAGGGGGATCTTTTGCATCAAGTTTTTTGTTTTGTTTGGGAAATCCACCACCCACAACACTTTTTCCCCCGTTTATTAAGCCCATGTTGTTTTCCCCTAGTCTTGGGGTGTAATAGAAGCAGACACGCATGTGGAAACGGTGGGTGGGGAGAAGTAGATTATTTGCATTTAAAGACATGCTACAGAAACAGCTACACTGTATTCAGACACCGAAATGTGCAGATTCTGGTTACTATAATAAATAATCTGATGAGTATTTTGAGCTGAAACTTTACAGACACATTCTAGAGACACCAAAAGATTATTACATCCTGTAAAAGGGGTAAAATAGGTGCCCTTTAAGATTTTGTAGATATTTGGACTAGAAACAAGACAAAAACTTTAAACAAGAAAAGCATTTTTTACAGTGTAACCATTATTATTTTTTTTTTTTTAATTTTAAAGTCAACTTCAGTATTGTCGAGGTTGAAATGAAAACTTTAGCTTGTTTGCACTTTTGACTGACTGTAAAATCAAAAAAAGAAATGCAAAATTTGGCTCGGAGAGAGAAAGCAGTTGTAGCACCTAAGCTCACTATATACATGAAAATTGCTTTTCCCAATGGAAAAAAAAAAAAAAAAAAATGAAACTAAAATCTTGGAAAACTAAGCATTTCGGCAGGTGTCCATATCCGAGACTGTGGAGGCTGCAAACCCTTCTCTCATGGGTGACGCATGATCAGAGCTCAACTCCATGTCCAGAGTGAGGGATTCTGGGGAAACATGGCAACACACAGTATTATAAGAAGGTGGGTTGGCTGTAATAAGTTACTTTCATTAAATTACTTATCCTCAAAAAAAAAAAGTAAGGGATTTTTTTTGTTTTTTGTTTTTCAGCCAATGATAAACTTCCTGTGAAAGGTTAATTTATTTATATATTATTTATTTCTTGCCACATCAGCAACTTATGGCTATTTCGTGGCAAAATGGATGTACATAAAATATTAAATGATAAAAACAAATTCATATTACAAAAAAAAAGTTACATAGACAAATATATAAAATATTAATAGATAAAATGGCACACATTTCTTTTTCAAAGTTAAATATGATATTTCAGTTCAATTTTTGATAAATAATTTAAAACTCTTCCGGGTGGTACCTTTTTAAAGATGTCCATCAAAATACCCTCCTTATAAAAATTTTGTCAAATGGATTTTAAACTTCTACATTCCAACAAAATCTGTTTTATGGTAAGAGCAGCCTGGCAGTACATTACATTTAGGTGATTCTTCGTTATTCAGCAAACCTAAAATGTCCGATTCGACATCTGGTATAGACCGTTTGATCATGTCTGGTCTCAAAACTATAATTTGCTAAATGCCTTTTGTTTATTTACGGGTTAATTTCATGTAATTTATTTTTTATGCAGTTGTCCCATTCTCTTTGCCATATTTCGTTTATGTACAAATTGATTGTGGGTTACAAACAAGGGTAAAAGGTTAATGTGACTATTTTCAATTTCATATGGCTTCTTTTACATCATCCATGTTGTAATGTAGTTAAAGTACATTCAGTTGAATAGACTTATTCATTTATTTAGTTGTTCAAGGGAAATCGAAATTAAAGACCAAGTAACCACTAGCAGTCAGGATCAGCAGGCGAGCGCAGAAACTCTGACAGTAGAAACACTGGGGTAAAATAAACGGCCACATTTTTAAGATGTGATGGCGGGAAATGGAATTTGACGCAGTTCTTCTTGGCCGGTGTGAGATCCACTTTATATCCTATATCTATCAGGCAGTGAATATCATTAATTTTTTAAAGAAATCAGACCTTAACATGGCAATTTTATAAATGGAAAGATTGCTGAGGCTGGCTGACTAAAATTAAAAGTCCATGTGCATATAACCCATTACAGTTACACAGAAACTTAAATTCAACAGTTCTTTATAAATTAATTTTGAAAAACAGAAATTATTGTATTGTTTTTTACTATACAAATATATTATATATAAAAACAATAGTTTTTCAAGTAAAGGTGACATTTATCAAGACAACATAACATGCTTAAGAAACAATAAAAGGAGTGATTAATTAATTCATGATAAAATAAATATTACTGTAGACTAGAACAGTGTGATTGTATTTTCCTCTTTAGATACTTTGCGGGTTAAATAATTTCATTTCTCAACTAAATGTTGGATTTGTCAGACAACTGCACATGCCTTGGAAAATAGTAATTAGAAAAGTAATTTAAATACACGTTTAATGATGTAATTATTTATTATTAATACTACTATTAGATTTCTTTTTGAGCCCACCATTCAATCATTTTACATTCTTCTGTAAATGGGAGTAAATATTTATTCTTACACATATTACATTATCGTTTTTATATTAATTAGAGCAATATCATTGACAAATAAGCAGATGTTGAGGATTTATGTACAACATAATTTGTAAACTAATGATTCCTGTTTTTAGTGGATGTATTATATGAGAGATTTACTGTAGCTTGGTTTATTAAACAAGTGATTCTAATTGTATTTGCACTGTAAACCTTATATTTTATTATTGTTATTGCAAGTTATTGTATCATGATGGTTTGTTCTGTAGACTATTGAAAAACATTTAGCTTAAAAGGGCTAATAATTTTGACTCTATTGCTTTTTAAAAAAAAAATCAAAACTGCTTTTATTCTAGCTGAAATAAAACTTTCCCCAAAAGGAAAAATATTATCAGACATACTGTAAAAATTTCTTTGCTCTGTTAAACATTATTTGGGAAATATTTAAAAAAGAAAAAAAAAAATCAAAGAGGGGCTAATAATTGTGACTTCAACTGTATGTGTATATAACACACGGTAAATATAAATATATATATATATATATATATATATATATATATATATATATATATATATATGAGCAATATCACACGAGTAGCAGTGCGATATGGCTGTATATCGGCACTGGTGGGAAGCGTGCGTTGCCTTATCGCACTGCTACGAGTTTGACAGCATAATTGTGTATATAAAAACAAAATCAAACTTGGAGAGTCTCAAAAACTCTTGTGTATGAGGAACTACTTTCTTCCGGATTCAAATCATAAGCTGACAGTTAAACAGTTGAGTGTGCATCTTTTAAACTTTAGATCTGTAGTGTCTGCTTTTTGCTGGCTGTATGTGGGCGGAGTAATACACAAAGGGTTAAAGAGGCTGTAGGAGTTCTGATATTGCAGAATATTGCATGGCTATCAGCCAATCAGATTTGAGAACCAGACAGAACTGTTGTATATATATATATGTATATATATAATGCACACATATCTTATGTCGAACAAACTTTTATTTTGTATTCGACTATTTATAAATATGTATCTTTTTTCATAAACATGATAAGCTGTTGAAACGTCATGACTCACCGAGAGGTCCTGGATTGGCCTCAGCAGCTTCGTTGTGCATGAGAGAGTCGAGCGTGCGAGGCGACATTGGGAACAAATCGCTTGTGTTGCCAGAGTTAGTCCTGCAAAAGAAAGACATTGACATTAGACATGATGACAAACGAAACGCAAACAGATGTGTTGATTTAGTAAGAAATCTTTCACAGCATGAGTCGGCCTCCGTCCTAGTTTACATATGTGTCAGAAACACCTACTAAAACTCACACAAACCCACACTTAGAGTCGCACACATGGACACCACTTGCTTAATACTGAAAGTTCACCCAAAAATGAAACTTCTGTCATCGTGTACACTCCCCTCATATCCTGCATGACTTTCTTTTTTCAGTGGAAAATCAGATATTTTGAGAAATGTCAGCAATGTGGAAGGGGTTCAGTCATACAGGTTTCAACAATCTTATAGATAGGCAAATTAAGTTCATTTTGGGGTAAACTAACCCTTTAACAGATTGTTATCATGAATGTTAGAGGATGTTAAAGTGGCAGATTAAACATCAACAGCATTGTCATTTGAAAAGAAACATGCTTTTCATTAGTTTAATTATTATTTACATTTATTAATTGACTGAATTTATAGAAAAGGTTAGAAAGTGCCAATGAAATTTAAATACAGGCGTATTTCTGGCATTTTGCAGATTTGGCATCCACCACTGTTCATTTTTAATAATCACAGGCAAACCTGCTTGGCCTGTTTGGATTTGGTTCATGAAGACATCCTGTTTGATTTTTAATATAAAGCATTTGTATTGAAGTTTGGTTCATTGATGAGCTTGTGTGCTCATAGATTTATGAGCTTGATGCTCTTTAGTGTTTCAATTGAAATTTTGGTTTTCAACATTTCTACTAGCAGGACCTGGCAAAAAATGATTCTAGAAAGCTTTTGGATAAAAAAAGCATTTGGATTCATTTTGGTTACTTTATGAGATTGCTCTTGTTTTATTTTTAAAATTCTTCTAGTGGGACCCGGCAACATAGTTAAAAATAATCTAAAAAAAAAACAACAACAAAAAAATTAACCAAGCTGATTTTCAATTAAAATTTTGGTTTTCAATATTTCTTCTAGCAGAATCTGACAAATAAGAATCTAGAAAGTTTTTGGAATAAAAAGCATTTGGATTTATTTTGGCTCATTTTTGAGCTTGTTCTTGAACTAGTTTTTTTATTATTATTTCTTCGAGCGGGACCTGGCCACATAATTGATCTAACATAAAATTCATTCATTCATTTTCTTTTTAGCTTAGTCCTTTTATTAATTTGGGGTCGCCACAGTGGAATGAACCGCCAACTTATCCAGCATGTGTTTTACGCAGCAGATGCCCTTCCAGCTGCAACCCATCACTGGGAAACCTAACATAAAACAATCTAACAAAATTCATCTGACTAATCTGACTTTTCAATTTGAATTTTGGTTTTCAATATTTCTAGCAGGATCTGGCAACAAAATTAATATAGAAATCTTTTGTAATAGAAAACCTTTGGAATAATTTTGGTTAATTTATGCACTTGTTCTTGTTTTAGTGATTTATTTTTCTAGCAAGATCAGGCAAAAAAAAAAATCAGTTTAACAGACTTTTCAATCAAAAATGTTATTTTGGTTTTCAATATAAAACATTTTGGTTAATATATCAACTAGTTCTTTTTTTCTAAGGGGTATTCAATATAAAGCATTTCGACTAATTTTGGTTAATTTATTAACTTATTTTTGGTGCTTTTTCTAGCAAGATCGGCCAACAAAATCAGTCTAATAGACTTTAAAATCAAATTAAAATGTAGGTTTACAAAAGAAAGTATTTTGATTTATTTTGGTTATTTTATTAACTTCTTTATTAAATTCTTTTTAGTGCCTTTAATAGAATGATCTGGCAACAAAAGGAGTCTAGACTCACCTCTTAACTCTGCCATTTTCTTCTAATGTTAATAAAACCCCATTACAACCAATTGCAGAGTTTGTTTGTACACAATCTAAACTTCCGGAGTTTATTTGATTATTGCTCCTGATAATTAGGCACTAAAAGATCTAATTTATCTACAGTATGTTGCATACAGTAAAGCGTAACCTACTTTTAATCTGACCCTAACTATGGTGTCCTCAATCATTAAGTCTCAACAAAGAAAATGATTTACTAGGGGGCAAAGTTTAGCCATGCATGTTTGTGAACACTCCAAACAAATCATACGGGGAGTTTATTTTAATAAAGTGGGATTTCAACACCGTTTCCTGCTTGTGTCGAGACAAGAAAACAAACACAATTTGGCAGCTGATGTTCTGTCTGTTCGGCAAACACCAGCAAGGTAAGATTAGATCATATAGCAAAGAATTAGGGATGTTTCTGGTGGTCATAAACTATATGTCAGATTAATCAACTTGTATGAGCGGTATTATTTCCTGCTGACTCGAGACATTTTACAGTTGTATTAAGACAAGTTGCCAGGTATTTTATGAGAAATCAGCTCTTAATGAATCTAATAGAGTATTATCCAACTCTTGACATATCTTATTCTCTGAGTATGAGTTACTGCTTTCTGGTAGACGATAAAGGTTGCCTGTGTGCAGATACAATTGTTTTAAGAAATCTTCTTCTATGTCCATTAATTAAATATTTAAATGTGTAATTCTCTTCTTTGAATGCAATTTACTGCATGGTTTGTGTTATGTTGTTTGTTTCTTCCCAACTGAGGATGATAAAGTATACTGAAATAAATTAAATTGAACTTAAAACAGGCTTTGCTGATCTTACGGGATGGACACCTAGATGTGTGTATTTATTTACTATCATGAAGTGATTCTACAAACCTTTATTTGCCTAATTCAAAACAGCTGATGGTTGAATTTCACATTAAACATTGCTTTAAATGTTAATTCTGTCGACTGTGGGTCAAACTAATCTTGGGTTGCCAGATCCCTAATAATTACATTATCATTCTTAAAATAAACATATTAACATATCACATACTGCTCATGTTAGCATTATGAGAATGGACATGGAGAATTTATTAAGCACTAAATGATTGTTTCAAACACTTTTGATTTTGTAAGAATTTTTCTTGAAACACTTTCTATGCCATTAGTATCATTACCAGGAAAACAGGATTAAAGAGCACGTTCATAAGATAAAGCCAATAATAGATTAAGCCAAAAACTCTATTTGCTTCCTGGATCATTAAAACTTGCACTTAACGTCCAGCTCTCAAGCAAAAGCTGGACTATGTGTTCATTTATCACTACAAGAGGAAAGAAAATCTCCAGCCTTTGTGTTTCATTGTTTGACTTTAGTTGTATTTCCATATTAAAACAAAATGTGAATGAACTCTGGATGTAGACTTCTTTTTATTACATTTGCAAAAAGCTTCTTTCTCCATTGACATTTATTCAATAGCACATGTGAACATGTTTAGAATCAGCATTATAGACTTTATTGGTTAAAAATACAGTGTGTGATGTGTGAATAAAACAGCGACAACAGTTATGTGTGAATGGTGTAAATGTAAAAGTACACATATTTTGTTGCATTTTAGTCTTTATACGACAATTTTACATGCAATTCAATGTTTTACTTGCTACCTATTCGTAATTTTGTCATATTTACAAGCAGTTAATAAGCAGCATACAGAGGCAAAATCCTTCATAACTGATTTCTTTCATCTCTGCCATGATGAAAGTACATAAAATTTTACTAGTTATTTTGCAAGACACTAGTATTCAGCTTAAAGTGACATATAAAGGCTTACACAGGTTAATTAGGTAAGTTAGATTAATTAGGCAAGGTATTGTACAACAGTGGTTTGTTCTGTAGGCAATTTTAAAATAACTTCATAACTGGGCTAATAATATAGAACAGGGGTTCTTAATTTCTGTCCTGGATGTCTGGTGTCCTGCACATTTTACCTCCAACCCCAATCAAACACACCAGGTTTAGCTGATTGAGCTCCTACTAGCCTTTCTAGAAACCAACTTGCATCATCACACCTGATGAGCTAAAATCTGCATGGTTTGAGAAACCCTTATATGGTCCTTAAAATTATTTATTTATTCTTTTTTACTCCAGAAGAAAAAACAGCAAATACTCTTTTAAACATCAAATATTTGTAAATAATTACAATTTAATTCCACAGGAGTTTCAACTGTATATAATGTGGCATGTTTTATTAAAGAACACTGTTTTATTTTGCAACAACTGATCATGATCAAACAAAACTTTTAAAGGTTTTACAATGGATTTATTTATGCAAAGTAATATATTCTACAGCAGGGATCACCAAACCTGTTCCTGGAGGTCTGGTGTCCTGCAAATTTTAGCTCCGGCCCTAATCAAACACACCTGAACAAGCTAATCAAGGTCTTACGAGGTATACTTGAAACACCCAAGCAGGTGTGTTGAGACTAAGTTAGAGCTTAACCCTGCAGGGCACCGGACCTCCAGGAATGAGATTGGTGACCCCTGCTCTACAGTATAATTTTAGTGTAAAATAGCATTTTCTTCATATCTGATACACACTGAAAATTCCAGTTGACATAGTTTTCTTACCCTCAACCAAGCCAAAATAAGACTTATACATGATACATGTCAAAAGTCTCGGAGCCACAAAAATAATACATTTACCAAATAAAGTTCATACACGCACAACACAATTCACATTTACAAAGTCCAATTTGTAAATTCAAAACAATTCATAAATACAACACACAGTTTGTGAATTCACAAGAAAAATCCTAAAATTTTTGCCAAATGAACCAGATTTGTGTATTTTCGAATTGTGTTTTGAACTTAAAAATTGGATGTGTGTATTTTTGAATCGTGTTTTGAATCTATGAATTGGATTTATGTATTTTTGAATCGTGTTTTGAATTTATGAATTGGATTTGTGTATTTTTGAATCTTGTTTTGAATTTATGAATTGGATTTGTGTATTTTTGAATCTTGTTTTGAATTTATGAATTGGATTTGTGTATTTTTGAATCGTGTTTTGAATTTATTAATTGGATTTGTGTATTTTTGAATCGTGTTTTGAATTTATGAATTGGATTTGTGTATTTTTGAATCGTGTTTTGAATTTATTTATAATGTTTTTGTATTTCTGAATTGGATTTGTGTTTTTAAAATTTGTATTTTGAACTTACAAACTGGATTTTGTAAATGTAAATTGTGTTATGGATGTATGAATTATATTTTGTAAATGTTTTATTTTTAAGACTGATCTGGCTCCATAGATTTCATCAGAAAAATGTCCTCAACCTACATTGTTTAACATTCAGACGGGCAAAACCATCAATATAACAAACTTGACTACAGAAAAAAAGGAATAAAGAACAAAACTGAAAGATGAGGGACAAAATGGAAGATTCAAAAGTAAAAAAGTGTTTTCCTTAAGTGTGACATGTTTCTATTACAGCTTCCGAGTAATAGAAAATGAAGAATAAACCCCCCTCATGGACAAAAGAACAAGTTCACCGACACAAAACAGAAAGATGAAATATGAAACACTGAGTGCAGTTCCAGTCCAATCCAAACATTGTGTTATAAAGTGATGAAGTGAGCTAAACAGAAACCCCTCGGACAAGATCTAGAGATGTTAAAACAAGTAATCTATGTTAGCAGGCAGGTGAGTGTGTTTACATCTTACACACACACACACACACACACACACACACACACACACACACACACATAAAGCAGCTCCCTAATGCCTACCCAGGGAAGCCGTTCCCAAGCAGCTCACTGTCCGGGAAGTCCATGAAGACAGAAGGACACCTATGAAGAGAGGTCAGTTATAGCCTGCCTAACACACACACACACACACACATTTACACACTGTCTCTAGTAAATCCAACCCTACTACAAGCAAAGAAAGCATTTGTGATTCAAATAAGACTTAGATTTGAGGCAGCTTTTATTCCATCCATATGTTTTGTGCGTTTCCTGCTGTATACAGTTTGATGCATGATTACAGTTTATTAAGCAAATCTTAAACCATTTATTTCAACATAAAATAACATTCAAAATGCATTTTAGAGGCAAAGGAAGTTATATTTTGATTGTGTGATATGAATGGGAGGAATCAAACACACTTAATTAAATGTAATGCAATGTTAATTACAAGTTTTTGTCTTGTTTTTATGTTTTTGTTTCAATAATCTAAATATTCTTAAAACAATATGCCTTTTATAGACAAATAATAAATATTTTTTTGTTTAAAAAAAAAAAGTCAAAATGAAGAGAGTTTTAGCTTAAAACAACCAAAATAATCGGCCAGGTATGGCATCAAATTCCCGCCTAAAGTATCGCTATCGAGAATAGAAAAATGAGCGTAAATCAAAAACTCAAAAGCAAAAACTAAACGCAGAATAAAAAACAATGAGGTCACGTACTGAAAGATAATGAGCGTGAATCAAAAATGCAAACTGAGACAAATATAATTTTTCTGCTCATGTTTGAATGTTTTGGGTGCTTTTGGTCTTTTCTCCTTTGCTCTTTTTCCCACATTCTGCGAGTTTCAGATACCTGACACCTGTCAGTGATCAAGGGGGATTCATATAAATATTATATACTGTAAATTCAGACACCGGTCCATGATTCCAGGGAACTTATATAAATATAAACATTTATACCGCAATATCAGGTCTGTGATCGCAGGGGTTTCATATAAATATACTGTAACTTCTGAACCTTGAGGCGGATGGGCTACAGCAGCAGAAGACCACACCAAACGCCACTCCTGTTAGCCGAGAACAGGAAACTGAGGCTACAATTCTTACAGGCTCACCAAAATTAAACATTAGAAGATTGGAAAAAAATGCCTGGATTGATGAGTCTCGATTTCTGCCATCATTCAGATGGTACGGTCAGAATTTGGCATTAAAGAATGGATCCATCCTGCCTTGCATTAACGGTTCAGGCTGGAGGTGGTGGTGTAATGGTGTGGGCGATATTTTTTTGGCACACGTTGGGCACATTAGTACCAATGGAGCATCATGTCAATGTCACAGCCTACCTGGGTATTGTTGATGACCATGTCTGTCCCTTTATTACCACAGTGTACCCATCTTTTGATGGTTACTTTCAGCAGGATAACACGCCATGTCAAAGTATGAATCATCTCAGACTGGTTTCTTAAATAGGACAATGAGCTCACTGTACTCAAATGGTCTCCAAAGCCACCAGATCTCAAACCAATAGAGCACTTTTGGGAAGTGGTAGAACGGGAGATTCACATCATGGATGTGCAGCCGACAAACCTGCAGCAACTGCGTGATGCTATCATGTCAATTTGGACCAAAATCTCTGAGGAATATTTACAGTACCTTGTTGAATTTATACCACGGAGGATTAAGGCAGTTCTCAAAGGCAAAAGCAGGTCCAGCACTTTACTACTAAGGGGTACCTAATAAAGTGGCCGGTATGTGTATATTCATATGACACAGCCAGAAGATCAACCCTTCAATAATGGACAGACTGCAGTCTGATACAATATAAATATTTATATTGATATGAATTCCCTGAAATCACTGTGGACAGGTGTCTGAAGTTCCAGTATATACTATTTATGAATACATGAAACCCCTGCAAAAAAGCATAGCCGTCTAAAGTTACAGTATATACATAATATTTATATGAACCCCCCGTGATCACTGACATGTGTCTATATCATCTGAAACTCTTGGAAACAAATGCAACCCCACCTGGCACACCGGGCAGCCACAAGTTGCATTGGAGTGACGTCAACTCCCCTTTAGTAGGAGCAACTGTCAATCTCGACTGTGAACCAATGATGACATTGAAGCCTGCCAGTGATTTAAATGAAACTAACAATAATATATGACTATATTATTTAGAATGCCACAGCAGAAATCGAGACTTATCAGGCCAGGCAATGCTTTTCCAATCTTCTATTGTTTCATTTAGGTGAGCTTGTGCGAACTGTAGCTTCAGTTTCCTACTCTTAGCTGAAAGAAAGTGGTCTTCTGCTGCTGTAGCCCATCTGCCTCAAAGTTCAGAAGTTACAGTGTATTTATATGAAACCCCTGTGATTACAGACTTGATATCACAGTATAAATGTTTATATTTATATGAGCTCCCTGGAATCATGGACAGGTGTCTGAAGTTACAGTATAAAATATTTATATGAATCCCCAATGATCACTGACAGGCGTCTGTATTATCTGAAACTCACAGAATGTGTGAATAAGAGCAAAGGTGAAAGACCATAAGCACCCAAAACATTCAAACATGAGCAGAAAAACTGATTTTGTCTGAACACGTTTTCATTTTTGATTCACGCTCATTATCTTTCAGTACACGACCTCATAGTTTCTTATTCTGCGTTTAGTTTTTGCCTTTGCATGTAAAAATTTTCCACGCAATGTCATTATTTTGATTAACAGCGTTATTTTTTAATTCCATGATACTTTAGGCGGGACTTTGGTCTCATAGATGTAATAAGTAAAATAAGTAAAAATAAGTATAAGTAAAAATCTTGATTTCAAATTATTTATTGCCAAAGTTTAGCTTGTTTTAATGAAAAATTCACTTAATTTTGACTTATTTTTACTAAAAATAAAACTGTAGTTTTTACTTGTGTAGAAAATGCTTATTGATTTAATAATTTTCATATATTTGGACTAAAACAAGAGAAAAACATGTCTAAAGATTATTTTGAATAATCCCTATTTAAATAAAAAGATAAATGCATATTAAAGTAAAAAAATACATGTCCATTTTTATTTCACGTTAACAACTTGATCTTTAAAATTACATTAAACTTCTCTTGATAAAATATCTTACATTTAACTATCCTAAATTATGGAATCATAGGGTTACACAACAGGTTATATGAATGTGCTTATACATGTAAAGAAAACAAAAGTAAACCTGAACCTCTTTTGATTATCGTGTGTGTGTGTGTGTGTGTGTGTGTGTGTGTGTGTGTGTGTGTGTGTGTTATGTTTTAAAGCATCTCTCTCTCTCTTCCTGTGCAAGATTGTGCTTTTTTTAGGATGATGTGATGTGAAGGGTCCGTGCAGGAGAGTCAGTAGTGGCTACATCCCTGATCCATGGTGTAAAGTGAACTGAGTGGAGGCATATGCTCCTGCCTGAAGAGTCACCAGAGATTTCAGAGTTTACAAGAGGACAGAGAGACTCCAGCAAACTCAAACACACACATACATACACACACACACACACACACACACACACACACACACACACACACACACACACACACACACACACACACACACACACACACACACACACACACACACACACACACACACACACACACACACACACACACACACACACACACACACACACACACACACACACACACACACACACACACACACACACACACACACACACTCAGAGAGGAAGAAATAAGTGCTACTTACGGGGTGACACAGATGAACTTGGTCTTCAGGTAGGGTTGAGTTACTGAAAAAAAAGCAAGAAATGGATGTGGTCAAATGAGTTTCGGACTTTAAATTGAGCTGCTGGCATAAAAAGGAAAATATACAAAAATTAATAAAATTACACACAAAAAAAACACAACTTAAAAAAAATCATAAAAAAGTCATGAAACAGTCTAAGTTGAACTAAACAGAAACTATAAATGCACACGTTTTGATCACCTCATCTAATGAATAAACAGCATAATATAGTAAATATTCAAAGAATTAACCTTGATGAAAACAGAGGTTTTTGGTCTGTTCTTAGCCTTCTGACTACATTTTAGTCTTCTCGTCAACAATACTGCATATTGATGTAGTCACTTTTAGTATCTAATGACATCTGAGTCATCCTGTCTTTGTCGGGGAATAAAAGGTCATCGTCAAATATTTTTGTTGATGAAATTAACACAGGTCCATATGATTTTTGAGATGATTACAAAAAAAGACAATTGCTCTTTGTTTAAACTGCTTTAAAATAAGTTGAAAGAACACCATTCTTTAAGTTTATCAAACTTTTTTTTTGCTTAATCTAATTACATGTGTTAAAACTATTAAATCAACTTAACTTCTTCATGTTGTCCCAACACAAATCCTTAATGTGGAAACCAACATTTTTACAGCGTATACAAGTCATGTTAAAAGGAATGGTTCACACTAAAATATCAGCATTTGCTCTCAATACAACTGGTTCCAAATTAGACAAGGTTTTTTTTTCATGAATGCCCACAAAAAAATATTCTGTAGAAAGTTGGAAACTAGTGTAAAATCTTATGGAAATCAATTTCTGTTTAACAAAATCACTTTTTCAACACATTTCTAAACATAATACTTTTTATAACTCATTTCTAATAACTGATTAAGATACTAGTATTTAGCTTAAAGTAACATTTAAAGGCTTAACTAGGTTAATAAGGTTAATTAGGCAAGATAGAATAATTAGGCAAGTCATTGTATAACGATGGTTTATATTTTAGACAGTTGAAAAAAAATATTGCTTAATGTAATGACCTTAAACTGTTTTTAAAAACTGCTTTTATTCTAGCCGAAATAAAATAAATAAAACTTTATCCAGAAGAAAAAATATTATCAGAAATACTGTGAAAAAAAATCCTTGCTCTGTTAAACATCATTTGGAAAATAATTAAAAAAGGAAAAAAGTTCACAGGAGGGCTAATAATTTTGACTTCAACTGTGAATGCACATTTGATAAAGTTGCCTTTTTGGCTAGTTTTTAATCTTGGAAGAGATTTTTTTAACTGGAAGTTTCAAAATAACAACTTTTAACTGAAAATCATTCAATTACTGTCAAATAAACATATAAATGTTTCAACAATTGTCCACAGATGTTCGAAATGCAGTGTTTTTAACTTTACAATAGAATAAAATCATGTTTTTTGTTTTTTTTTCATTCTTTCCTCTCTTATTCTTAGGCAATTTTCTCAGAAGGAAAAGTTTTAAGTAAACCACACCCATTCAGTTCACTTCCAGTATAGAAAGAGTCTCCAAAATAAATAAACATTGGATGAGAAAAACTCTGCCAATCAACAGACAGATGTGTTTTTTGTTTGTTTGTTTTTTTGTCTGAGGCAGAATGAATGATATTCCTGTAAAAGACACTCACCACATCCTGTGTCAGGGAACTCAGTGTCTGGATGGGCCTCAGGGCGGCAGTATTTGCCAAACGCCTCCTCTTTGGGAATGTCGGGGTACAGGTAGACCAGCGGCGACACTAGGATGTTGGTGGCATCCATGATCTTGTAGCCCATGATGATCTCAGCAAAAGACATGCTGTTGAGCTGCTGCTTAGTGTACGGTTCAACCGACTGAATCTGGGTCTTACCTGCACACACATACAGTGATACAAATGCTCGTCAGTGATTCCCAATATCAATGTTGATACCACCAAAACAAACAAAAAACAAGCCACATTTTAAATAATGCTAATTCCAAACATATGAATAAATAAACAAACAAACAAATAAAAGCACATTAAAATACATTAAAAAAGCAAACCAAATAAAATGCAAAAAAGAAGCAAATCTAAAACAAAATAATTAAATAAAAACAAAAAGCAAACAAAATAAAATAAGCATAACACAAAGCAGATAAAAAAAATACAAAATATAAAACTAAACAAAACAAATAACAAAATAATCTAAAGAAAGAGCACAAGATAAAAACAAAAACCTAAATAAAACAATCATCAAAACAAAAACAAAGCAAATTCAAAACTAACAAATTAAAAGATAACAAAACAAAAAAGCACAAAACAAAAAGGCAAATTCTAAACATAAATAAGTAAATAAATAAAAGACAAAAAGCACAAAACAAAAACAATTCAAAACAAAACAAATACATAAACATACAAAAATAAAACAAAGCAATCTAAATCAAGACAAAAGGCACAAGGCAAAAAACAAGAAAATCTTAAATAAAATATATAAATAAACAAAACAAAAAAGTTATAAACAAAAAGGCAGATTTTAAAAATGAATAAAGCACACAAACCCAAAACAAATTAAAAATAAAAGAATAAATAAATAAAAACAAAACAAAAAATAAACATACAAAAATAAAACAAAGCAAACAAAAACAAAACAAAAAAGCACAGGACAAAAAAAAAACAAGAAAAACCCAAACAAAATAAATGAATAAATAAATAAAACCAAAAAAAAAAGTGCTGAACCAAATCAAAGCAAATTCAAAACTAATATAAATAAAGCAAAATGTAAACCAAGCACAAAACAAAAAGGCAAATTCAAAACATAAAAAACACAACAAAACAAAACTAAAATAAAAAACAAATAAGTGGATAAAAAAAGCACAAAAATAAGGAAAAACTAAAATAAATAAATAAACATGAGCAATGAACAAAACAAAAATAAAAACAAAAATGTGCTAAACAAAAACAAAGCAAATTCAAAACTAACACGAACCAAAGAATAAATCAAAATGAATAAACACAAAACAAAGGCAAATTACACAAATATATAAACAATAAATAAAGCAAACAAGCATAAAACAAAACCAATTCAAAACAAAAATAAATGAATGAATAAATAAATAAAATAAAAAGCTAACCAAAACAAAATCACAAATAAATAAATACATATACAAAACTAAAAACAAAGCAATCAAAATTAAAAAAGCACAAAACAAAAACCAAGAAAATCCCAAACAAAATGTATAAATGATTCAAACAAAAATAAAAAGTGCTAAAAATGTAACAAATTCAAAACTAACATACATAAATCAAAAAGTGAACCAAAAGCAAAAAAGCACAAAACAAAAAGGCAAATTCTATAAATAAAAAATAATAACCAATAAATAAATAACAAAAGCAAAAAAGGCTAATTCTATAAATAAATAAATTACAAAAACAAACAAGCACAATACAAAGTCAATTCAAAGCAAATAAATAAATGACTAAATAAAACTAAAAGCAAAGAAAACCAAAAAACATACAAAAACAAAACAAAGCAATCCAAATCAAAATAAAAAAGCAAAATCAAAGCAAAAGGGCAAATTCCACACAAAAATAAATAAATAAAGCAAACAAGCACAAAACAAAACCAATTCAAAACAAATCAATATAAATAAATATGTACAGAAAGTGAAAATATGACAAAGTAAAAAGCAAACAAACTTTACATCACAATAACTTTTTTGAATGTCATTTTTGCCATATTTAATTCAGCGCGCACAATATCATGTGCACAGAAATGCATTCACCATTGATGTCCTTCTCGACCCACGTGAATGTGATTCCTCCCTCTTTGCTGCTTTCACTGAAGCGCAGCAGAAACGTCCCAGGAGGCTTTGGACTCAGGATTGCTCTCTCTCTTTCTTTACTGATGAAACCCATAATATACCTGACACACACACACACACACACACAAACAAGAGGTTGATGCACCCACCCATGCAGCAGCTGATGCAATGAACTATAAACACCGCATGAATGCACACACAGCGCAGTGCAGCATGAGCTCTCACCCTTCATTCCATAAGGCCAAAATATATTTCTTCACCAGGTCAATAATGTTGTCCAGCCACACCCAGAATGAGAAACCTTTTCCTGCCATGTTTTCCTGCGAGACACAAAGCAAAAGCAGAAGAAACAACGTTTAGAATAACTTGATAGAAACTAAATGATTTGCTCTAAAATTATAAAGAACAAGGAACAAGTGATTATTGCAGAAACATACTTTGCAGAACTTAGCCCATGTGATCTGGCAACCGGAGTAGTTTACACAGGGACCTGCGCAAAAACACACACACACACACACAATTAGACACTGATTCATACATTTAATGTTAATTTTATTATAGATAAATAATGCAAGTTAAAATCACAAGTTGACTCTAGGCATCTTATTTCTAAATGTGTGTGTGTTTATCTGAAAGTTGTGTTACAGTATCCTCTGAGATTTAAAGTTGCCTAAGAATCGAAATCTCTAGAGACACATGGACATACATAGTACACTAAAGCCAAGCTACATAAAATCTTTCCTTCTGTCTCACCAACAAGTGATACATATAATACAGCAGAGGACACGGTTGCTCGTGCCTTTTGGCTCTGTCCCTTCCTGAATAGATTCTGCACCAACATATTTGACTGGATACACAAGGTTTATAGCAGATCTTTTCTACCAGATGCCGATCTTGCCATTTTTGGCTTCTCACAAAATACTTATCTCCTTCAAACAATGCAAGAGTCTTTTGTGCAAGGCATGGCTAAAAGTCTGGTGCTGAACAATTGGAAATCACCTTTACCCCCTTCATTCTAGAACGAGATTTTCCAACATGATATCTGTTATTCAGATGGAGAGACTCGGATGTTTAAGTACTAGCTCCATATGAAAATGTTTGACTACTTGGGGTCAATTTCTTAATTTATTTGACAAATCTGCACTACCTGACAAAAGTCTTATCGTCAACCCCAGCTGTAGGAGTAACAAATAATTTGACTTCTAGTTGATCATTTGGAAAAGTGGCAGAAGGTCGATTTTTCTGATGAATCATCTGTTGAACTGCATCCCAAGCATCACAAATATTGCTGAAGATCTATTGGAACCCACATGGACCCAAGATTCTCACTGAAATCAGTCAAGTTTGGTGAAGGAAAAATCATGGTTTGGGGTTATATTCAGTATGGGGGCGTGCGAGAGATCTGTAGAGTGGATGGCAACCTCAACACGCGGAGGAATCAAGACATTTGTGCTGCCCATTACATTACAAACCACAGGAAATGGTAAATTCTTCAGCAGGATAGCGCTCCTTCTCATACTTCAACCTCCACATCAAAGCTCCTGAAAGCAAAAAAGGTCAAGGTGCTCCAGGATTGGCCAGCCAAGTCACCAGACTTGAACATTATTGAGCATGTCTGTGGTAAAATGAAGGAGAAGGCATTGAAGATGAATCTAAAGGATCTTGATGAACTCTGGGAGTCCTGCAAGAACGCTTTCTTTGCCATTCCAGATGACTTTATTAATAAGTTGAGTCATTGCAGAGATGTATGGATGCAGTCCTCCAAGCTCATGGGAGTCATGCACAATATTCATTCTTTTTCCACTGCACCATGACTTTATATTCTATACCGTACATTATTTCTGTTAAGTGACAAGACTTTTGTCTGAGCAAAGTCAGACTTTACTGTCCTAATTAAATAGTTCAAAATCAAGGCATGATCATGTTTTGTTTGGTAAAATAAGCGTAATCTAGAGGCTTTTGCCTTTCATACAAGCCACTTTAGATACCAAATTATCAACTAGAAGTTATTATTTGTTGTTCCTAAAACTTGGATAGGCGACAAGACTTTTGTCAGGTAGAGTATATCTCAAGAGCCATCCAGTGATCCCTCTGCAGTTTAAGTTACATACCCTCGTCTCTAGTTTAGGTTTTATGTGACTAATTAGTGTTTTGGATGTCTCTTTTTCTTTTTGTTTTCCTTTATATTGTCCTCTGTATGTCTATATGCATATATATATTAAAGTAATAAAAATAGCAAGTTCAGATTACTTCAGGCCAACTGTTAAAGAACAAAATTTCGATTGACAACTGTAATACCGTTAGAGATGTTTACATGAAAGTAAAGCATATAATTAGGGCAAGTGCTGCTGGTTTCCGAGCAAAACAGGAGACTGTGATAGTACAATCACTCATGATAAAGGTATAAGCTTTTACATTTGTAAATTATGAAAATCTGCATGAATGAAAAAACATAAAATGTATAATACATATTTTTTAGCTTCCTATGAAATATTCTATTATCTTTCACAACAATATTATCACACTATTTACAACTGTTAATATTTATTTATTTAAAACCTATAGATCTCTCTCTCTCTCTCTCTCTCTCTCTCTCTCTCTCTCTCTCTCTCTCTCTCTCTCTCTCTCTCTCTCTCTCTCTCTCTCTCTCTCTCTCTCTCGATACACGTAGACAAGATTTTATATTGTATATTTTTACACTGTTATAGTTTTATATATTATAATACATTTATTATATTAATACATCACAATATACTTTATAAACGAAGTCATGGAGAACACAAACTCAACCATCTAAAATGAAAGATTATTCAAAGCCAATTCTAATAATAATAATAATAATAATAATAATAATAATAATAATAATAATAATAATAATAATAAAAGCCTTTGAGTGCCACTGAGTATTAAATAACACAAACACCCATACACACACATACCCAGAAGTTTCTCTGCAAGTGTGGTGAGCTGCTCAATAGTAAGTCCTCTTTTGGTTGTGGACGAGAACTGCCAGCTGAGCACCTCCGCCACCTGATCCCATGTTCCTACAGGAGGTTTGGTGAAGAAATTCACGTTCTGTGAATAGAGGAAAAATAGAAAAGTACTTATTAGTATCTTACATGATGAGATCCAAGACCTATGAAGTGATAATGCAAATAAAGTAATAAAGTTTTCGTTTAATAACCAAAAAATGATGTTAAGTGACATTGTTATGTATATATTTTAGCTCTGAGGTAGAGAAGACACACTGAAATAGATATTTCACCCAAACTGGAAAATTGTGTCATTAATTTCCCAACCTTCACTCATTTCAGACATGTTTGTGTTTCTTTCTTATTTAAACATTTTTTAAAAATATCTTTACCTGTGTTTAACAAAAAGAATAAAAACCCCAACAGGTTTGAAACAAGTGAAGGGAGTAGTGGGTTCATTTTCACTTTTGGGTAACTGCCCCTTCAACGATCCCTTTAGGTACAAGTCAAAAAAATGTAGCACTATTTAACACAACCAGAGGTTGACCAATGTACAGCACTTCAAAGTATTTCAAACCTTGGGATGGTTGGTCAGCATGTTGTACCACAGGATGGAGGCCCATGCGTTTGGCATTTGACAGATATTAGAGATGACCACCACCGGGAGAGAGTGCGTCTGGACACAGATAAAAGACATTCAGATTAAACAAACAATAACAAATCCTGCTTTATGTCAATCAGAAATATGTGTACAAGTGCAAACACAGACCTGGACGTTGAATGATTAAAGGGGTTGTTCACCTAAAGATGACAATTTACTCTCTACTTATTGCACATTATAAAAAACTACAAAAAATTGTGCAATTCTAAGCGTGCCTCACATGGATGAGTGGGTTTGACAAACCACCAGTAGAAATCACACTCTTTCATCACCAGACGCTCTTACAATCACTTTGTCTAAAAAAAAAAAACTCTAGCACTTAATTTGCTAAAAACAAACAGTTCTTTGTGTAATCAACACTTCTGTGTTTATTGCCTATTCTTGTTGAATCGCTGAATGCCTCCTCAAATGTAAGTCGATTTAGAGTCTGCTAAAATATTAAATGTAAGGCTACGTTCACAATGCAGGCAAATGTGGCCCAAATCAGATTTTTTTTGCCAACATGTGACTCAGATCTGATTTGTCTTGACAGTGTGAACAGCCCAAACCGCGTGGAATCTGATCTTTTGAATTCAGATTTGTGCCACTTTCAAATGTAGTATTAAATCAGACACAGATCTGGGGCCTCATGTACGAAGACTTGCGTGGAAATCTTACTAAAACATTGCGTACGCACAAAGCTGTAAATGTGCGTACGCAGAAAAAAATTCAGATGTATGAAACACTGTGTACGCCGAATCTCACGCATATTCTTTTGTACATCCGAATGAACGTGAAACTGAGCGCAACATGCACGAGCACAAAACTCCTCCCTGCCTCCTCCCCCGTATGAATATGCTAATGACTATGCTAATGGCAAAACCCAACGAAAAAGCAACGGCAAAATCAAGCAAAAAGAGAAACTTTGAACAGAATGTGAAATGGAGGTGCTGCTTTCGGAGGTAGACCAGAGAAAAGTGGTGTTATTTGCAAGTTTGTTCTCCGGAATTAACAACAAAAGAAAAAAATAGAGTGAGAGAGTTTAGCTGATGCGGTTAACACAGTTGGGTCTGAACATCGCACTGAGTGCATTAAAAAAAAGAAATAATGTGGTTTATATCTGTAAAATGTTGCAGGACGCTTAACAGTCTCAGTGGCGCGCTCGTAAGACGCTTGTGATCATGAATTGATACGTTCGAGCATGAACTCGGCTTGAATCCAGCGTCTGATGAACTCTTTCTTGTTTTTTCCCCCGCTACATATCAGATTTTGCCAACTATTTATCACGAGAAAGACAAGTAGGAATCATCAATAAGTTCATATCAATAAGCATCATATTTTATTTGCACATTTATTGAATGGAAATGTTTCTGATTCACGCATGCAAATTCATCTTCAGATAGTGTCTTTATAGCAATGTGCGTGCGGTAGATCGCTCAGATTACATTGGGAAAACAGGTGACTGCTGCAAATTGTGCTTTAATGTTTAGCTGGTCAAATGTATGGTATGGAAACCTTATATACCTGCTGAACCAGTCTCATACAGCTGCCATTGCAAGGCTCAGACACTTTGTAGAGAGGAATTTAACACAACTGCCTCTAGGAGTCGCCAATGGAAATAAAACAGACACGCACAAAAAATGTGCGTACGCCTGCCAGAAAGCTGCACACATTTCCACGTTCAGTTCAATGTTAGTAAATACAAACGTGAGCGATTCTGAGCATGAAACCTGGCGTACGCAAAGTTTTTGTGCGTACGCATCGTTGATACATGAGGCCCCTGATGTTTTGCAATGTGACCAGTGTGAACAGTTATGTAGAATTTCACATGATTTTTACATAATCTTTGAGCGACATGCGTCATCATTCTGTACTGCAAACATCATCTACTCCATAGTAGTAGAATAGCACACAAGGTGATTACTTTACCACAGTTGGTCATTTTGAAAAAAAAAAATTGAAGGCAAAACTGGTGCGTGTTAACCAATCTGGTTAACGATTGGGGTATGGTTTGAAGTTGAAGAGCGCCGGGGGGTGTTGGGGATAGGGATCTATGCACAAAGAAAGGTGCACTTTCATTTTAAGCAGGGACTTTCTCTCCGAGAGAAAAAAGGGCAGGAGCACAAGCACCCAAACACCCCCTCTCTGCATGTGCATGTTGTTTATAACAAAGTGAAAGGAAATAACTCTGCAAACAGAGATAACCCAACTGCCTTCACACGTTAATCTGTGGCTGCTCATTAACCCTTGATGAGTTCACTACACCGGTGGTCAGAAAGACGCGCACCACAGTTGTCATAAATCACAAATGATCAGTGTTTTCAATCACAAGTGACTTACTTTAGGTTTCAAATACACATTAGCAGAAGCAGAACAACCATTTACAGTTCATGAAATACACCACGGTTGTCTGTGTAAAGGTCAATAATCATATTAAGCATAATCTGAACATGTGCTTACTTCATACAGTATACACATTCTGTGCATAATTAGACATGTTATGCTGTCTGTAAGTGCACTTTTGCGCATGCGGGTCAGTTTAGGACCATGATCTGTTCACACTGTAAATTTGACATTGGCCACATATAAAACAACAATTTGAACAGCCATGTAAAAACAATCTGACCAGAGAAAAAGTCAGATTTGAGCATTAGGCCTTGCAGTGTGAAGGTAAATGTGTTTACTCTTTACAAAGTGGTACCACAGTATATAAAAAATAAATTACTATGGAAATCAGATGGGTTTCCACAATTTTTCTAAATATCTTCTTTTGTGAAACTCATGAAGTTTTGAAACAATTAAAGAGTGAATAAATGATGACAGAATAATTTTTGGGGGGTGAACAACTGCAAACACAGCCGAATGGTTTAATGACCTCACTTAATTACCCTGCCGAGTGTGTGTTGGTATTTGACGTGAGCCTGTTGTGTCCACCCACAGAATAGGCATGTGCGCACTCTTATCAGCTCATAATAAGCACACAGGCAGCACTGAGGGTTTTAATAAGTGGCACATTACACAAGGACACGCTGTCGGGTTACATATTCATGTCCTCCCACTGCTGGTATCACGGCAACAGCCTATCACAATGACCTCATTGGCTTTCAGGATGGCGAATCAATCGCTTGAAGCAGTGTGATGATGGACTTAATCGGCACTCAGGGTTTCATAATATTATCATCTTTGATTTGATATAAAGCCCAACAGGATAACGTCCCTGTGACAGGAATCGTGCCGCGATAAGACGTGTTTGACATTTTATTTGGTTCTTAAATCTCGATTGACGAAATAAAGTGTCATTTTTAGGTTGAAATTACTTTTTAGGGTGCTATGATTTCACTGACTCTGAAAATGCAAAGAGCATTGCAGAATCCAGTTGTAAAAGTCAAATTAGATACATAACATGGAAATCATGGAATTTGGCAGGTGAATAAATCACACGTAGCGCTGTCCACAATCAAATTGTGATGTAAACTATTGTTAACAAATATTAAAAAAGATGGAACCTATTAAAAATGTGAGATCTGCGTATTCTGTTGGTTTCTGTGTGAATGAACAGTGCAGTGTTGTTTACTGCATACAGTCTGAAGCATGAGCGTAACGTTTTTTTTACAGATTTATGTGAGAAAAGCTATCATATCATGTATACGTAAATTATTATTTTAAAAAAATTAATTTTACTAAAATTGTAGTTTTCAAAATAATTTAAGAAAACACTTAAGTTATATATGTAATTCTTAAAATTATATTTTTGCTAAATTCTTCAAAAGTTGTTCAATTGTTGATCACTTTTTAGGATTTCAATTAACTAGACGTGCTTCTGACTGCAAAAATGCATTTTATATATGTGAATAAAACACTCACTCACGAATATGCATACATGAGCATATACACAAAGGCGCACATGCACGCACTCAAACGCATGCACACATGCTCACATGCAAATGCACGTTCGCAAACACATGCATGCAAACGCGTGCATGTATGCAAACGAATGCATGCAAATGCACATACGCACGTAAACACACATACACAACACAGGCAAGAATGCAAACGCAAACACACAAATGCTTGCCCGCGAACACATGCGTTCAGTGGCACATGAGCGAAAGCATGCACGCAACAGCACGGGCATAAACTTTCGCACGCAAGCTCACACACTTACTCACTCATTCATGCAGATGCATAAATAGCTAAGCATGCACAAATGCAACTGCACGCACACAAACACACACACGCAAATGCACATACGTAATCGCACGGATGCAAATTCACACACGCAAACGCACACATGCAAACGCACATACGCAAACGCACGCACAAATGCAAATGCACGGACGCAAACGCACAGACGCAAACGCACAGACGCAAACGCACGCACGTAAATGCACGTAAACGCACATACGCAAACACAAGCAGGCACATAAGCAAATGCAAGCGCAACAGCACGTACGCAAACGTACACATGCATGTATGCATATGTACACACACCCACGAACTACTAAAATTAACTCATAGAAAAAATGGAATTTAAACAAATGTAAATTCTACAGTGAATCAATCCTTCAACAATGACATTCATACTGAACTAAAGCGAATCATCACTGAACTAATGAACACAACAAGCATTCTGTGGAACTTAACATGCATGAAGCTTGTTTCGCAATGATCAAACTTCATACCTGATATTAATTTTAGTTGTGCTTAGACGCGATCTGCATTGTATAAAGCGCTACAGAGATGAAACTGATGACTTGAAATGTGTATTTTTTTACCTCAAGGTCGATCTTAAGTCCTTGGTGGTAGACTTCTGTCTCGAATGTGATCAGATGCAACTCTTCGGTCACTATCAGAGAGGCCTGTAGTTCAGAGGTCTAAGGTTAATGCTTATACTGACTTCACTGTCTTCACTAGAAGCAATGAAAATATATGCATAGCAACAAAAATGATTAAAAAAAAATGATAAAAAAGCCTTACATCACTATTGGTTCGGCCTCCATTGCCACATCTCTGCTCTCGTAGAGTCTGAAAGACAGGAAAAAAAAAATAGAAAGCTTGTAGAGCATTTAAATGTATCAAACTGTGGACAATTTTCTGTAAAATGAGCTTTATAGTTAATTGCTTTTAATTCGTTTTTATATTCATGTGCTGCATGTCATCTGCTTTGACATAATCTGCATTGTAAACAGCACTATGAATTGACTTGACTTATTAAAGGATTTAATATCCAATATTCAAGTTCTTGAATAATTTAAAGAGAACAAAACACTTGAATGTTTTATAAAGCAACATTTCAATGTCTGAAAATAAAAAATTTCTACCAATAAAATATATAAATAGTCAAGTTACGAAAAGCTTGCATTCGATAGGTCATTGAAATAACTTTTCTTGTATTTTCTGACCACTGTGTAAATAAAGTGAGGTTTATTTTTTGGTGTTTTTCCAAGTGCAAACATCTAAACTTTTATATTTTTAAATCAAGATTCACTTCATTCTGAAGTGAAATGACATAAAAGCTTGTTTTTGAGGATCACAGACACTTGTTTTGAGCATAAACTCTTCTCTAAAAACAAGAATGTATCTCTTCACTAAGAATCTCAAGTAAACATCTTGATTAAAGAATACTGTTAAAACATTTTATGCTCTGATGTGTTACAGAGTATGAAACAGTGACTATGAATTTAGGAATTCGAATATAAAAAAACTGTGATTTATTATATATACCCAGTAATTTTGAAGCATATTTGTAGCCTATGATGAACTAAGCTAGTGTAAAAAAAATTTGATAGTTTCTTACACAATTTTTGACTTCAACAGTAATTGTGGCTACTAATAAAGTGTATATCTTTCTTTACTAAAAGCAAAAATCTTGCTCGAAATTAAATATATTCAATGCTGAAACTGATGTGCACAAATATATTTGATTATGTTGAGGGAGTTTTCCTTTCTGTTCAGAGAAGCATAACAGTGCTCCCAGTTAAAGAAACACAAACAACTCCAGAAAACACATGGTTTGGAGCTTTGAAAAACATACTAGCATACTGGCTGAGCTTACCAGATGTTTGAACTCTGCTGACAGGCTGCCATTGTTGGATTCCTCCATGTTCATCACCTTAGTGTTAGTGCCAAGGATGTTGAACTTGCGTGAACTGAAGAAAAAAAAGCAGAGGGCTAAAGTAATGCAGCAACTTTTATAGATACAAGCAAGAAACACAATTTCACTGGATTTTTAAAAAAATAACACCTAGTCAAAAGAAAATCTAAGCACTCCTCTAATCTGGTGCTGTGGCCAAATGTCTTTAAATGAAAAGTACCACAGAAGATCAACAAACGTTTCATCCCGTTGCTTTTTCTTTTCTACTGTGATATACTTAATTATTGAGTGCAGACCTTCTTAGGCACTTTACAAAATGAAATTTCAATTTATTGATTATTAATTTTATTATTATTATAAGTATTAGGGCTGCACAATTCTGGCTAAAATGAGAACCACAATTTCAACACAATAATTCAACTTCAGAATTATGAATAGTTGTATTCTGATGTCATCACTTTACTGTGCATTAATGACCAGGACATATTTATGCCTAATAAGGTCCACCATTCCAAGTCTATACAAAGTGTTTCATTTTAACCAACAGTAGACCTACACATAGGCTTAATATTAGTATTGTAGTTTTGCCACATGTTTGAGAAAAACAATACAAATAGGCTACTCATGGTGACGCAGTGGCACAGTAAGTAGTGCTGTCGCCTCACAGCAAGAAGGTCGCTGGTTTGAACCTCAGCCAGGTCAGTTGGCACTTCTGTGTGGAGTTTGCATGTGCTCCCTGCGTTCGCGTGGGTTTCCTCTGGGTGCTCCGGTTTCCCCAACAGTCAAAAGATATGCAGTACAGGTGAATTGGGTAGGCTAAATTATGCGTAGTGAATGAGTGTGTGTGGATATTTCCCAGAGATGGGTTGCGGATGGAAGGGCATCCGCTGTGTAAAAAAAAGTACTGGATAAGCTTTAAAAGTACTGGATAACCTTTATTTTACATCTACAGAATTGTAAGAAAATCGTGATCTTGATTTTAAGCAAAAAAATTGTGATTTTCATTTTAGCCAGAAATGTGCAGCCCTAATGCATAATAGCCAAATATCAGCCATTTATTTAATCTGCCAAATATGCATTGATCTATCACTATAATTTAGTTTAGTTTAGTTTTTGTTTACAAGGTCAATGCACATCAATAAACATTAAATACTGTAAAATTTGCCAGAATTAGCCAGAAATGGCTATTTTTAATCTGTAAACCCCTTACAGAATGTACCTAAAATAAAAGCACAGCATAATAACATAGAATACACTATCATTCAAGAACACAGTACTAATGCTATCTTGTCATTAACCAATTTCTAACATGAGACTGAAAAGAACGAAAAGTACATGATCTTCAAATTGTTGGTGGGATGGAGTTCCATTCCCTGGCAGCTTTCACTGAAAACTGACTAACTGAATTAACTTTTTTTGAGAGAAATAATACAGTCCCCTTTTTCACCACCTCTAGTAGTTTGGTTAGCAGTTGTTCTAATATTCACAAACTAATTTAGTGGTGAAGTCGGGTTATGCAGGGTCTTAAACATCAAACAGATATGTACATATTTAATTCAATTTTCCTAACCAAGCAGGTTGTATTTCTTTAATGTTGAACAATTGTGAAATTGAACTGAATTCTTATCAAGGCTTTTTATAGATTGTTTGTATAATGATTCAAGTGGCTTTAAAGTAGTAATGCTAGCTTGGGACCAAGTGGTTAAACAATAAGTGATATGAGAAATGATCATGGAGTGATAATAGATTAGGTCAGCCTCACATGACATCTGAAAATCTAAAATTTCCTAAACTGAATCTGACCCGGTTACAAACCTTTTTAACCTGTGACTTAAATGATAGTTTTGAATCTAGCGAAACTCCAAGGTACTTGTACTCAGAAACAACTTGTAATCTTTCCCCTGATACATATACATCTGGTACTACACTTACCCTACCATTCTTAGAAAAGTACATACACACTGTTTTAGAGATGTTTAACTTTAAATGGCATTGTTCCAACCAGGCTGAAAGATGTACTAGCGATTCTGTCTGAGTTTGGTTGCAACTTGTAACACACTACTACTATTAATAAATATAACAGTGTCATCAGCATACATTTGTATATTATTGTAAGGACAAATAGATGGAAGATCATTAATATATGAAGTAAAAAGTAAAGGGCCCAAAACAGATCCTTGTGGAACACCTCTGGATAAACCTAAAGGGGCAGATCTGTAATTCTGTATATTAACACACTGTTTGACCAGACAGGTATGATTCTATCTGTTTTAAAGTTTGTGAGGAGAAGTTAAAACCTACTAATCTGGACATGAGATTTACAGTAGCAAAGGCCTTCCTGAAATCAATTAAACAAATCTTGATCATTTGCGATGAGAAAAGTGTCTTTTAACATTATAACTCACCCTCGAATGGCTGCCACGTCACCTGACTCCCTGCAGAAGACAGGAGGTAAAAATGTAAAAATATAAAAACTGGCATATCAAAACATAACTCTGATGTCACCGACAGGGACTTGGACTTACTTGTCAATACACACTTTGATTTTGAGCTGGTAATTCAACTCTGGGAATTTCACAAGTAACCTGAAAATGAGAGGAGGGGGGAAAAATGAAAAATTCACAATCTTTGTCTCGACGTCCTTTCTAAATGAGCAGTGAGTAAACCCACCTGACTTTGGTGGTAAACTGAACTCCTGTTTTGATGACAAGGGGTCGGTCAGGGTGCATGGGCATGCAAGGCTGCCTCTCCACAACAAATGCACTGTGAAAGCAAAGACAGAAAGCATTATTAGATCATATCCTGCTTCATTAGCCATGTTTCAATCCAATGATGCAAATTAGATTCTTGTGCAAAGCTGGAATATGGCATAAAACATTTGAAAATAAAGCAGTGTTTCCATCCAATGAGTTAAAGAGAACAAAATTGACACTTCCTGATAATCTGGTGCCAAATAGCAAAAAGAAAAATGCTATTTGCTGCTGCCAAAGAAGCGACTGTAGATCTTTTTGTTTAGTAAACAACTTGTGAAAGAGAAAATGCAATTAACGTGCGGTGGGTTTTTAAAGACAGTTTTGGAGTAATTTGAATGTCTATTACTGATGTCCCTCTGTGGCTGTTTTTAACAATCACATGATCTGAAAAAAAATCGATTTTTTGATGAACATGCTGGACTTTATTCTCTAAGTGAACTTTAATTTTAAACTAATTTCGAGAGGAGCATGTGCTCATGACTGACCCAGCTGGTCCACATTAGCTAATCATGATCCTCCAATCAGAAGATCCCAAGTCACTATATATATATATATATATATATATATATATATATATATATATATATATATATATCCTCTTTTCCTTTCTACAACTATCTTCGTCTGGAAGTAACCCCCCTCCTCCTCTTCTTTCACCTTTTTCCAGAATGGACGGCACGGTGGCTCAGTGACTAGCACTGTTGCCTCACAGCAAGAATACCAATGGTGTTGGGTCCTCGCTGGGTCATCTGGTATTTCTGTGCGGAGTTTGCATGTTCTCCCCGTGTTCGCGTGGGTTTCCCTGGTTTCCTCCCACCATCCAAATGTGCTCTTATTTTTGAGCCTAATTTTTGAGCACCTTGACCTTTTTTGCTTTCGGGAACTTTGATGTGGAAGCCGATGTATGAGGAGTGCTATCCTACTGAAGAATTTGCCCTCTCCTGTGGTTTGTAATGTAATGGGCAGCACTAATGTCTTGATACCTCCGGGTGTTGATGTCACCATTAATTGCATATCTCTCGCACGTCCCCCATACTAAATGTAACCCCAAACCATGATTTTTCCTTCACCAAACTTAACTGACTTCTGTGAGAATCTAGGGTCCCTTTATCATTTGTTGCTCTTACAACTTGGATCGACGACAAAACTTTTGTCAGGTAGTGTAGACTCTGAGCAAATGTACTACCTTTTCGTTATGTTGGTGGCCGTTTTTGCCCAATTGACTTCCAATAAAAATACATATTTGATTGCAAAGGCATGACACCATCATGAATTCTTGATTGTTGGTGTTTTTTTTGCACAGACCTATCTAAAGGGTTAACGGTGCCAACTGATGATCAACCTCTTCCCAACAAAAAAAATCAAAAATGCATCTAAAATCAAGAATGCATGATTATTTGCTGCCATGTTTTTATTTATATTTTAAAAATGTTGTTATCATGGAAGTCAATGGGGCAAAAACAGATACTAACATAACGAAAAGGCAGTCAATTTCAACAGTACACAAGGGTTAATTTGCATCTTGGCATTTTTATTAAAATTCTTTTATGCAATACTCCAAATTATGCATTAAAATAGATTGGTAGAAACTTAGCTACTGTTTTTGGAGATTAAACAAGAGAGAGGGTGATTTCAAACCTTTTCATAAGGTTGCGGAAAAGATCTACGATCTTCTCCTCCAGAGCTGGACGGTGCTGAATAATGGGGTCCCCTTTATACGAGACCTTCTGCTGAAGCTCCTCCAGTTTTCTGATCTGCTGTCTTATCTGCAGCTGTGACTCAGCCAAAGAAGTAATCCTGAAATCAGATATTAAAGAAGTTATTTAATGTAATTGCATGTTTTCCTTTGGATGAGTTTTAGAAGCTGTACGTGCATATCTAAGATCTTGAAGACAAAGTCTCAAACCCCAAGAGATATTCTTTATAAAAGTTAAAGGCATAATTTATCTACAAATGAAAAGTTTCATATGTATTTACACCCAAGTGGTTTTAAATTTTCATAAACTTTTTTTTTTCTGTTGAACACAAACGATATTCTGAAAAATGTTGAAAACTAGCACAACAAAAATTCTATAGAAGTCAATGGCTGCTGCTTTGCAACATTCTTTAAAATATCTTCATTTGGGTTCAGCAGAAGAAAAAAAACAAGCATGTTCAGTCAAGTGAAGGGCGAGTAAATAAATGAAGACAAATTTAAAATTTTTGTGTGAACAGTCCCCATTAAGACTCATCTACGCCTTCCTCATTCAAAAACCTCATTCAAAAATGCCCCTGCAAAACTATATCACTGGCCCTGTCCCAAATGGCAAACGTCATATGCGCTTGTGGTCTTGCGGCTCTAAAATTAAGAATGTGTGTCAGTGTCCCTTAAGTCCACAAGACCACAGGGTGACCCAATTACCAATTTGCTTTTTTATGGCTACCATGTACCATCGATGCCCACCTAAACTAACATTTCACCTAAAATATCCTGTCAATTACCCTCTCTCCACTTGTTGCAAACCTGTTTTGATTTCTTTCCACTATTACACACAAAAGATGATATGCTTAAGAATGTGGGGAACTGGTACTACTTACAGACTTCCATAGTATTTTCTTTAAATACTACAGATGTCAGTGGCTACCAGCTTCCACATTGTTCAGAATTTTATCTTTTGTGTTTAACAGAACAAAGAAACTCAAAGGTATGAAACCAAAGCTACTTTTCTATTCAAATAAATCCCTATTAAACTGTTACACTTCATTTTTTAAACAACGAATTTCAGAATAATCTAAATAAACTTAAGAATGAAAAATTGTTGTCCATGGCTTTAATGCTGGATGTTGGATAATCATTATATAACCAGTGTCATAATTTGGTCTTCAATTGACAGTAGTATCACTTGTTGCAATATTTTTGTCACAATATAGACCATTTTGAGGGACGTAAACAATAACAATGGTACTAACGTACGTATTTCCTGTTTTACATGTTTTCATTTGCATACCTTCCAAGAATCCAAAAAGGTGCATGTATTGATATATAATCTTATGATAGCTGTTTTAATGTCGAGTTAAGATTGAATTCCCTCCTTTTACAGCTATGAAATTGTTTGACAACAAGCAGGAAATGTTCATGGGCAAATGACATTCCCTCATTGAAATGGTCTATATTCAACTGCCAACTATTCCAGCATATGTTTTTGCAATGAATGCCCTTTCAGTCACAGCCCAGTATTGGGAAACACCCATACACAATTACACACACTATGAACAATTTAGTTATTCAATTCACCTATAGTGCATGTCTTTGGACTGTGAGGAAAACCGGAGCACCCGGAGGAAACCCATACAAACACAGGGAGAACATGCAAACTCCAAACAGAAAAGCCAACTGGCCCAGCCGGGACTCAAACCAGGGACCCTCTTGCTGTGAGGTGAAAGTGATAAGCACTGTGCCACCTGTCACAATATATCACACTACAAAAACCTGATTATCACCTGTCAGTATTACAATGGAAGCTGATATTCCAAATACGCTAAGACTGAGGTATTCAGCCAAACAGATTTTTCCTCATAAATGCAAAAATGTCAAATAAAATAAAAGCGATCATGTTTGTTCTATAGTGAGCAACGCTTATCTTTTTGATTAGCATCATTTCTTTTGGGTTGTGAAGTTTAATTCACAGAATTTCTACAAAGTGTGTTGTTTACTGCACACTTGCTGACTTTTTTGGTCACAGCATTTTATATTTAAATGAGGAAAACAAACATGCGTTATATGTTTGTTTTCCTCATTTAAAATAAAAATATGTTTACAGACTGATCCCATAACTCTGTGGTTAGTTGTTTTGGTAAATATAATCAGATGTTTCAATATAATGTTAACACATACATTCTCTGTTGTAGGTTTTTACTGCAAATGTCACATCCAAAACGCTGGAATTGCTTGTGCATTAAAAACAGGTCTGACTGAGAATGGACTGCGTACCATGTCTCCAAGCGGTCCAGGCAGATGTTTGGTGGCCCACCGATGCAAGCGATCTGCTGTCTCCTCTTCCAGTCGGCCAGCTCTTCATCTGTCAGATTCTTCTGCACAAAGTCCATGGCAGACAGCAGTCCTGCCATCTCAGTGACTATTTGCTGCAAAACACACAAAAAGACGGTGAATGCTGACCCTCGGTGATCGGTGCAGAAGGTTACTGGGCATATTTTGTCATATCATGTTGTATTTTGTGGCTTTGATGCGCATCTTACCCTCCTGAGCTGATCTAGAGCGCTTAGCATCTGCTCCAGCTGAGACATCTTCTGTCTGGTGGCTGCTGCCTGGCTGTTTCCATTCAGGTCCTGGGACAGCTCTAAAAGGTGGCACACATTTGAGAAGATTGTAATGAGGGCTTGAGTTTGTGAATGCAACACAGGCTCATTGAAAATACATTAGCATATGTTTTTGTGAAAACGCACACAAAACCTAGTTAAATGTTGACTGCAAATTCTAGGTAAAATGAATGCTACCGTATGAGGTAGGAATGATGTTAACTAATTTTGTTCCTTTTCACGCTAATGATATTTACAGGGACATATTATTAATGGATTTTTTTGAGCAGCTCTTTGCACAACATCAATTAAATACTATAAAACAACTTAACAGTGTCTATAATTTGCAATCGAATACATTTGCCTTGACAACTTTTTCTAGTCAGTTTTCCTGGTAGATCGCTTTGTACAGTGCTGTAATTGTGATGCAGATTGTTTGGGTTTGAGTTCGAATGTGGTGGAAAAACAGCTCCAAAAAAAGATTAAAATCGATATAAAACTATGCGACTTTCTAGTACATTTACTTTTGAAAACACTATTGGTTGGGTTCAGGGACGGATTTAGTTCAGTGATTCACTGGCTGATCTAAACAACAAGCCCTGCCTTCTTGTGGGTGTGTACAAGAAGAACATGTTCCTGAAACATACCCTAAGACTTAAGTAATGCATTTCAGATTCGCAAATAATGTATTGTAGACAGCGTACTCTATGGTATTTTTAATCTGAAACATGCACACACACACACAAAAAAAAAAAAAAGAGCCAAAAGTAAGGGTTTAAAACAACAACAACAATATTGCAATATTTAAAATTTCTGTGATATATATTGGGAAATAAAATCTATTTCACTTGATTGAAGTGGTTTTGCAGTACAATACATCTATAAGGTACATAGTATAGTGCATAATAAACTAGATAAATACAAAAACAAAGCCTTAAAATGAGAAAAGAAAATTGTGCTTTATATTTTTTGGTAAGTCTTTGGAAAGTCAGATACAGATATTGAATATAGAAATATAGAGAGTTGATTGCATCACAGGCCTTGAACTCATATTAACAGAAAAAAATGAACAAATTATGAATTTACAAATTCCAAAATGGTTAAAATTTGTAATTAATATCAAAATGACAAATTTTCAAAATGACAAAATTCAAATTGTAGTCCCTGTTCACCTATAATCCCTGCATGGCACTGTGCATCCTGCCATATGACTATTGTGGATATGCACATTGTAATATTGATGCTGAAACTATATATTGTGGAACCCTGACCAAAAAACAACATTTCCAATGCAGTCATACCTCCAGCACTCTTAAGAGTTTTGTAGTTGAAATCAAAATCATCCTGCAGATTCTCCAACATTTTCATCTTCTGCTCCATGTCCTGTGGAGGATGAGTAAGAGGTTATACCCAAGCAATAGCTAAATATTAGTTTCAGTTTTAGTATTTTCAGTTTTCAGATTGTTATAACATGCATTTTCAGTCATATGGTCACAGGTGGTCAGCTGAGAGGTATTACCATTTACACCACTGTAAACAAGAGTTCAGGTGGAGGGTAGCTGGTCTTTTGTGTCTGAATACATTTAACCACATGTGTGGTTACATTAAGTGGCTGAAAGTGGACAAACTCAAAATAGTTTAGATCAGGCATGTCCAAACACGATCCTGGAGGGCCGGTGTCCAGCAAAGTTTAGTTCCAACCCCAATCAGACACACCTGCGCTAACTAATCAAGCTCTTACTAGGCTTTCTAGAAACAATTTGCCTCAACACATCTGCAAGGATGAAGCTAAAATCTGCAAGACACTGACCCTCCAGGACCGAGTTTGGACACCCCAGGTTTAGATGATGCCATCCACATGTGGCTGAGCGAGATTAAAAATGCATCTTTATGCCAGGTGTAAACAGGGCACTAGACCACCTTGTTTTGAAAAGGTAAGATGTTACGTAAGGGGCTTTAAAAACTGAGCCACAAGAGGGTGCTAAAGTGTTCAAGAACATTGTACAGAATAAAAAAGGCAAATAAATTAAATGTAATCAATTTTGAAGTGATCAAAGGTTAACTTTAATTTTAATCTTGTTTTATGAATAATGAATGTGCATCTGTAATTGTAAAAAAAAAATTGTGGTGTCCCACTAATACATGAGAAATCAAACTTCTCAAAAACTTTTTTACAACATGCGTGTATGAACAAAGTTGTTTTCAACCTCTTTGTAATATAAGCGAAAATGGAATATTCTAAACGACCGATTGTTTATTTTATAAAACATGGTCAAACCATCTCTAAGGCCTTTATGCACAAGCTTTTTGTTATGCATTTTGTGCTTTTGCCAAACTCTCCAGAAATGCCTTTCTCAAACATTGTTTGAATACAACAGTCTTTTATACAGTCACAGAACATTGAGCTCTCATTAACCCAGCACTTTAAATTATTCATTATTTTGGAGATTAAACAAGTTTATTTCACACTAAATTTAAATTTAAGATGACTCTGATGTGGAGAATGATGTCACATGCATTGCTCAGATGTGAGTTTTCCACAGACTTCAACAGAGCGTAAAAATCTTGATGGTTCTGTGGGTCTCATTTATCAAATCTGATCTTTAATTTATATTCTCTATTGGATTCAAGTCAGGGGATTGGCTGGGCCATTCTACAGCTTGATTTTTTTTCTGAAATCATGAGCGCTTCCTTTACTGTATTTTAGATCATTGTCTTGTTGACATTTCCACCCTGGATTCATCTTCATCCTTCTGATAATGTAGATGTTGGACTGAAGGAGCTAATAGTAATTTACAATGAGGAAGGGCAGAGAGTTGCTGAATAACTACTGAGAGATTTCAGCTGCTGTCTGGGCTTTCACTGCCTTTCTACTCCTGCCTTTCTTCATGTGTTCAATATTTCCCCCTGTCATTATTGTCCATAATTTAATGTGTAAAATAATTTGATTTGTTTTCTTTTCATATATGGATTTCTTTGGTTGTTATCAACATCCGGTGAAAATATCAAGTCAACAGCACATTTAGAAATATGTTTTTTTGAGAAAAATGGTGACGTGTTCAACACTTATTTTCCCCACTGGATATATACAAGTTAAGATATACCTTTTTAAATACAGATTATAAGGCTGCCCAAAATACAAACCTTTATTGCTCCATAATATGTGTTTTCAGTTGTTCCAATATTTTATATATAATAATAAAGTCACAATATAGGGTAAAAATTAAAGATAGTGTGAGAGTTTATTTTGTGTACCAACCTGTACTCTCTTCCTGATGTCCTGCAGGTTGTGTTCCAGTATCTGCTGTTTTTCTGTCACCACAGTGCCAGTGGGATGGGCAACCTGGCCATCCTGTAGATCAGAAAAACAGAAATCTGAAAGTATCCTTACAAAGCAGAGACCATTTTCAAGCACAAAAATTTTTTCCACTTTATTTGTGTGCACCTGCACTCACACACCGTGTAAATAATGGACAATAAAATATGAGGTAACGTCATGGGTTAAGGTTAGTTTTAGGGGTTGGTTGATGTTTAATGCCAAGTTTATACTCAATTATTATTCTAAAGTATATAGTATGTGCATGTGGAACTGGGCACATGTGTGCGTGCACATGCATCTCAGGCAACATGGTGAATAAACAATCAATTTTACATCTACACCACTCTTAAATGCCAACAAGAACGGTGAAAGATAAATAAAACTGCAGCTTGCATGCTTGGAAAAGACGATGACATCTCTTTCCTTGTATGTGGATATTATATTTTTGCACATTTGACACGTATTTATTATTAATGTCCTGTAAAAGATATTAAGTCACGTTATCTCTGCACATTGCTTGTACAATGAAACATAATTGTCTCTTTGTGATTATTTGAATGCTGTGCTGCCTTAACCCAGCATTAGTCATTCCAAATAAAATAATCAAATGTGTGTTTGTGGATGTACCTGCTGTGCAGTGGTGGCCGTCTGCAGTAGACGCTGCTCTTCCCACAGGCAGCGGGCCACGATGCGGGCAATCTCCATGGGCTTCTCCAGATACTTGCTCTGCAGGTGCTGCTTGATGCGCCGCAGGTTGTGCTGGTACAGGACGTTGTTCTCCTGCAGGAAGCGGCTGTACTGCTGATCGATCTCGCCCAGCAGGTTGTGGAAGACCAGCGTGGCGTGAGACTCCTTGTTGGCCGCATACGCCCTGTGGAGGACATGTGCATAATAATGTAGTTTTCTTCATTCCATACATGCATTAGAGATAATCAGAGGAGGTATTGTCGATAAAAATAAGCATCCATGTGTTTCAGTAAAAGGGAAAATAGTAAGCATCTTTAAAAGCAAGTTCAGACACTTAAAATATTACATTTTCTGCTTGTTCAAACTACTTACTTAAAATGAGCTTAAATAATACAATTCTTGAGGTTTTTTTAGGAAAAGTTCATTGTTTTATGTTCAATCCACTTAAATTTGTAAAAACTATTAAGTTAATTCCTTCACGTTGTCCTGAGACAAATTGATTGTGTGGAACCCAGCATTTTCTTACAGCACACAAACAATTTAATTAGCAGATAAATGGTTTGTAATCATTACATAATCAGAGGTTTGTGTACTGGAATCAAATCTAACAAGGGACACAATCAAAATAGAATTCTTCTTAATTTTTATAATTGTTCTCCAAGCATTACAATAAGTCCTGATTTAATATTACTCTGCAAAATCAAACCTTACAAAAGATACTTGACTATAATGTCATTCTGTGTAACAATAATTGATATAAAAAAATCTTGTCTGGCATATTTAAAACAAGAACTATTTGATGACATTAAAAGAATAAACATCACTAATAAATGTTGGGGTGGGAAAGTACATTCTGAAATATTATACAAGCTAATACTCTGTATTGTTTGCTGGGTTTTGTAATATAATTTAAATGAATAAAAACAATAATGAAAAAAGACTACAGATTTCAATTAAGTAAAGTAAATCTGTAAACTGTAAATTACACCTATAAATAGCTCAGTTTTACCAATTTATCAGTAAGATCATTTTAAGAATTGAATAAAATGTAACAGTTTTATATACTAAGCACAAGTCAAAATAAGTTCATTTAATCGTAAATAAATGTTATGCTAAATGAAGCATAATTATTCCACCCATTTTGACATTTTAATTACACAGACATTATATGACACATTAAAGCAGACATTTTACTCAACATACTTCTTCAAATTGAAATTCTGTTTGTATAAATTGGGTTTTGTAAATTTAATTGGACTACAGACGACAAAACGGGACCTTTCATATCTGACAAGAATTCATATCTGATATTTTTTTTACTTTTAGATTTTATATCTAGTTTAATTATATCTTATATATTTTCCTAGTCATGGGTTGCAGCTGGAAGGGCATCTGCTGTGTAAAACATATGCTGGATAAGTTGGCGGTTCATTCCGCTGTGGTGACCCCAGCTTAATAAAGGGACTAAGCCGAAAAGAAAATTAATAAATGAACCTTATATTTATAGGGTTATATATTTATATATTTATATTTAATTTTTAATAATAAATCAGATTGCTAACCCTGGGCAAACTAAAGCTGTTGTCACATTTTCTGCTCGTTCAAACTACTTTAAATTTCATATTTAAAATAAGCTTAAGCAAAACAATTCTTGAGGTTTTTTAGGACAACTAAATTGTTTTAAGTTCAATCCACTTAAATTTGTAAAAGCTGATAACGTAACTCCTTCACGTTTTCCCAAGACAAACTGATTGTGTGGAACCCAGCATTTTCTTACAGTGCACAAACATTTTATTTAGCAGATAATCTTGAATATGCTGTCAAAATATAAGGTGGACATAATCAGAGGCTTGTGTACTGTAATCAAATCAAACAAGAGAATCTACATGCGGTGTTTTCTTTGTCAGCAACCAATACAATCTAAATATAATTCCACTTAATCACTTCCAAAACCTTAATCACTTTTTAACTTGAAAGCTGCTATAAAACGCACTTGCCATTTTATACGCACGGACATTAAATTGTATGCCTTTCTGGCCCACATTATACTCGCTTTTAAGCTTAAAAGCTGCTAGAAAATCCACTTTATTGACCTTATTCTCCGCCGACGAGCGGGCGCTGCCATTTGAATCTTTTTGGCTCGAGACTTACGGTCTCATTCACTTCCATTCATTTTTAGACATTAAAAACTGCTCATTACGCTGCTTCATGTTGCAATTTGATATTTTCTTGTTATATTATTCTACTTGGTCTGTATAATCATGCAAACATTTGTTTGTAGAGCAAGTAGTTTGACTGTTTTTTGCCGTTTATTATTCCTAGTCATTTCTCCCATAGGCGACTGAATCGGAAGTTCTAAGACAATCGCAAAAACAGGCGCACTTCCGCATTTTAGAATAAGGTCAATACACACTTCTAACATTGTATTGTTACTATTTTTTATAATTATTGTTGCCTTTTTACTCTTTTATTTCTTGTTATTATTGCTGTTGTTTTAGACAATTAGGACTGCACTGAAGGGAAGGGCAAACGTAAATTTCGTTGTATTTTGTACAATGATAATAAAGATTCTGATAATCATAAACAAATGATAATCGTGAATGTTATGCTAAATGATGAAGGATAATTATTCCACCCATATTTTGACATTTTAATTTCACAGACATTATATGAAACGTTAAAGCAGACATGTAATTGTACATACTTTTTAAAATCTACTTTGTGTGTATAAATTTGCTTTTATAAATTTCATTTGACACAGGATGTGAAAAAAACCTTTCATATCTGATATTCCTCATTTTGAAATTTCATATCTGGTTTAATTATATGTTATATCTTATATATTTGTAATAAGAAAACAGATTGCAAAATATTTACACTTAATTCTGACCCTGGGCAAACTAAAGCTGTTAGCACATTTTCTGCTTGTTTAAACTACTTATTTAAAATGAGCTTAAACAAGACAATTCTTAAGTTTTTTTGGGGTGACAACTTAATTGTTTTATGTTCAATAATCTAAATATGCAAAAATAAGCCAATCCCTTCACGTCAAGGCAAACTGATTGCATTTTAATCAGCCGATAAATGGTTTGGTATAATTTTGACAATGTTGCAATTGCCATTTTATTTTCACAGATGATATATAAAACATTAAAGCACACAAGCTACTTGTACACACTTTTTAGTCTACTTTCTGTGTATAAACAATGTTTTCGTTATTTAATTTGACACAGACAGCAAAATGGGACCTTTCATATCTGATATTTTTCATTTTGACGTGCGTGACAACCCTTTTGTTTGTTATTGTTTGATCTAGGTATTGCACCTTTTTTGTGGGGGGAGGGGGGGGGGTTTAAATCGGGTAAAGACTTTCTTTATTTTTTAGGAGGAAGGTGTGACGACCCCTTGTGGCCGTTTTCTGTTGGGATGTAGGCGTTTGTGCTTTTGCGTGTGTCTGTGTGTGTTTACAGATCCAGTTGATTGCGTCAGGATTGGAAACACCGGTGTATGTATGGTTCTCTATGTTTTAAGTAGCATGTCTTTCTTGGACGAGTTATATAATGTGTCTTTTGTAAGCTAATAAAGTTTTGTTTAGCAAAAGGAGTTCAAATAAATGTATTTTCTACCACAAATACACTCGCCTTCTCCTTATTTGTACTGACTGGCTCAAGGTTACAACAATGTCTCGTATCTGGTGTAACTATATCTTATATCTTTTTAATAATTTCCTAGTGATGGTATTGGGCTGGAAGGGCATTCACTGTGCATAACATGTGCTGAATAAGTTGCTGGTTCATTCCACTGTGGTGACCCCAGATTAATAAAGGGACTAACCCAAAAAGAAAAATGAATGAATGAATGCTTTTAATAATAAATCAGATTCCAGAATATTTAGACATCAGTCCAACCCTATAGGCAAAATAAAGCTGTTATCACATTTTGGCATATAAAGCAAATATAATAATTACTTTTTGTAACGTGTTGTAACATGTATACAACAAATATAGCATATGTTTTTGCTCAGCTTCAAAATTATATAACAAACACGTTATTATGATAAAGCTCTGGGTTTTCAAAGTGTGTTGCTGCCCCATAGAGGACAGTTAGCAGTATTGAATGCATGCATGAGATCCTTCACTTGTTCAATAATGAAATAAATGAACCCAAGTTTATTTTATTGACTGCATTAAACATCTCCATTTCCCAATACAAAGATGCATGCTGTGACATAGAAACTAATGAGGAGATGAAACCGGACATGAGTCATTTCAGACTGACATTTTATAGTCCACAGCAGAATCATAAAGAGGCCATTCACAATGACACAGTGAGAAAGCACAACCAGAAGAAGAAAAAACTGTCACTGCGTTTGTGTTTTTGTTCATAGCAGACTGTCCTGGAGCTCTTTACTGGCAAAGGCATGACAAAGATGACCAATATTCTAAGAATAAGGAAGTGCCGCTCTGAACGTGATGTTTAGGAGTGGTTAAAGTTCACGAGCTTCATGTTAAACGGTCCAAAAACACCTCCATGTGACAGAGTGATTAAAATCTTCACTTCTCTTAGTGTCAGAATGTCACGGCTGAAAAATCCGATAGTTTAAATTCTGGCATGCTAGAAATGTTAGAAATCCGTTATAATTTCTTTTGATGATCCACTTTAAACAGTCTGAGGGTTTTATGCAACTCTGCAAATACATAAACTATCTTTAATTATTGAGGCTTACAGTGTTTATTATAAGTACACTGTTAGAGCTAATAGTAGAGTAATTTGATAAACATCTGTTGAGAGAGCATCGAAATAACATCTTTTCTTAGTATTAAGAAACACTCAAAGCATAAGAAAAGGCTCATATTATAAATCCCCAAGAGTTAAAAAAAAAATGTTTATTCAAACATTAAAGAATAAACAAGTGCTCAACTGCGGCTAGAAAATCAAAAATCAAATATTAACCAAAGCTAGAGAGAAACAAAACAAAATAAACAGAAGCAAAAGCACGGCTCTCACAAGCAAACACTGCTGGCTTATAGAGGGGGAAACCAGGTGTTCCCAATTGCGCAGATCAGTCTCTGTCCTTCTCGCTATGAAAAACTGGAAGTATGAAAAGTATGCGATTTCAGATGCAGCCTTTATCTCCTATGATTTGGCCAACACATAATCTGCACCCACCAAATATTTGAGACCATCATTAAGTCTATTTATTTACTTATGTATATATGTGCAGTTGCATATGTGCTCAGTTTTTATATTATTTTCACAAGTATTATTAAATAATATGCAATTGTCTAGATGACAATGTACCGTCTGCAAAGTAATATTTTCTGTCTGTTGTTCACTAGATATATTCCAAACAAGTGGTTATAACTGGATTTGCATTGTAAAACAAAATCAATTTAATGACTTTGTTTTTGCACTTTCAAAATCATTCTACATAAATCCACAGATTTAGATTTCTTTTTTATTATTATTACAAAAATCACAGGTTGCAGCTTCTGTCTGGACCCTGCTTATGACGTATTGCACTGCTGGCAACTCACCAGTCCTGGCTCTCGATCCAGGGGGCCAAGAACTGTCGGAGCTCCATGGGGAAGCTGTCGCTGTACAGGTGATACAGCTGCTCCAGATACCGCGTCTCCAACTGCTGCAACTGATTCCACTGGGCCATGTTGACCTGCGGGTAGGAGAATAGGCAATATAGTAAAATTCCATTAAAACCATTTTACATAAAATCCTCTTCTCTTTTATTTGTAAGAATAAGTTGTCTTCTTTAACAATTAAAAAAAATGGTTTATCGCAAATTGCTGCAAAGAATTTAGGTTGGCATAATTTAAAAAATTAAACTGAACATTACTAAATACACACATATATATATATATATATATATATATATATATATATATATATATATATATATATATATATATATATAAAATCAAATTAATATTTTTTTCAGTGTGCATATGAACAAACTTTAATGCACAATTTTTTCCTTAAAACAATTCATCATTGTTCAATTTGATAGTTTTCTAGTCACATTCTTGATTCCATAAAAGCCTTAAAACAAACTAACCACATTAAGTTTCTGATCTTAAAATTAGGCTTTCTATGCAATACCCATGGCTAAATTTACTTGACCAATCAAACAATTAGAAGTACAAAACCAGAACACTTATAGCAATAAATGTAGATTTTTTTGGAGAAAATTAAATCTACTAATCTACTAAAAATCCTTTTGAACATATTAAAAAGGGGCGATAATTTACAATTACAAGAACAGATTTGAGAGAGAGAGATTTTTGTTTCCACTACTGCCCTTTTTTGCACTGTCTTGTTTGTACGCAGCGACACTGCACTGCTTTGGCAATATGAATGTAGTTATTTGTCATGCCAATAAAGCACCTAAAATGTGAAAATGTGAAAAAAATGAGAGCGAGAGAGAGAGAGAGAGAGAGAGAGAGAGAGAGAGAGAGAGAGAGAGAGAGAGAACTATGAACTCATCTGGCATACATACACTAAAAACACTAGCTGAATATGCATCTCTGAGACAAGACGAAGAAAAAACTGCATGTGAAGTTTTCCTCAGGGATTCACTCGATTGTATTGTGATCTCTTTTTTTTTGACATCTAAATCATCATATGCTTGAATAGATTTTCAACCAGTTTGCAGTTGCATCCCAACAAATAGCAAAACAACAACAGTTTTATCAACGAACAGAGATGGATACAAAATTACTAACACTTAAATGGGACATTGATAGTGGATTTAGATCAAAGAGAGAAAGACCAAAGCAACCCATGTCTCAAAAAGAGAGGAGTGCAATAAAAACATGTGCAAACACACACACACACACACACACACACACACACCTGGATTATTATAAATGAATTACTGTAAATAAACTGGTTATTATAATGTAATATTACCGTTTTATCCTAAGATGTTGATTGTTAAATGTAGTTTATTCTGAATTATTATTATTTTAATTATTAATTTAAATAAAAAAATTTTATTATTTAATTTTTTACTATTACTATTACTGTGTTTATCATGTTTTTTTGTTTTTTTTTAAATACATGTACGTTCTTTTTAATGTAACGTTTATGAATGCTCTGGCAATACATTTGTAACATCTGTCATGCCAATAATAAAGCATTTAATAAATTGAACTGAATTGAATTGAAGTGAAAGAGAGAAAGAGAACTTTGAACCATGAACTGGCACAAATAGGACAAACATAACTGGTTCGTTCAGCTTTCGTGATATTTTTCCCTTTCAACTTCCTTATGAAGAGTTCAAAACAGTGGCAAAAAGCAGAGAGTGAAAGTACCTCATGGCCGATCATTATAGCACATATTAAGAGCTGCAGCACTGAATATCGCTTCTAAATTGCCAAGATCATCTGCATTTGAAAGAATATTCAGTAAGCAACTGCTTGGAATCTTCACTAGCAACATTAACAACAAAACAGACAAACATCTGAGGTGTCAAGGAAGTGAAAAGTTCCTTTCACCAGCATGTCAAGGCCACAGAAATCAGTGGCTGTTGATCGTAAAACAGCGAGGGCATCCGTTCAAAGAGGAAAACCTCAAAAGCCCATGGACGCTGTTTCTCTCGGCATTACCTCAAGATACCGTGAAACACACATACACTTGCAGTTCACCACATCCACACAGAAAGGTTTGTGCTGACAAACAGATGAAAAAAAGACTATTGCTGGCACACAACACTTTTTTTATATTATTTACACATATTATTTACAGTCTCTCAGGTTTGTGCTTAGAGGAAGGATAGAGAAAAAAGGACACAAGAAAAAAGGGAAATGTCTGAATGAAATTTGTCAAGTCTGAATGAAAATTCATGGAACTTGGCTGGCTTTCTTGATTTCACTTCTCCTTTGACCAAACTCAACAAGAAGAACAGAATTTGTTTTCTTATAAAAATGCTATTCTTATATAAGCTTTACAGCAAATAAATAAATAATAATAAAAAACAGAACTTACGGAACACCAAAACTTTAAGTACTATATATATATATATATATATAAAGTTGACCTTCAATACATGTATAAAGATATCTAAATAGATCAATAACTTATTTACATACTGTATTTTACAAAGTCCAAATCCTAAAGTAGTAAAGCCAACTTACATTATTATCCACAAAACGAACTGCAACTTGACTCGCCATGTCTGCTTGCTCCGTGAGCAATAGGGAAGTGCACTTTGTGAAATGCACAGGTGAAAATATAAGAGTATGAGGTGGAGGGTTGGCCCCAGAGATATGAATGTCTTCCAGAAAGGTGCCAATCCACTGCCATCTTGGAAAGGTCCACATTTCTGATTTCTGCAGTACTTAATATAAGCTACACTGTAAAACCCAACAGTCAACTTTATTAAATGAAATGAGTGTTAACTCGAAATGTACCGGAAATTAATTCTATTCATTTGAAAAGGAGTTTGGAATTCAGTGTTAAAGGTAATGAGTTCATTAAATACCTCATTACTTCAAGTTAAATGGAGTAAGTACTCATATTGAATAGTTAACTTCAATGGTTTGTTGCAATCGGTTTCCTCAAACGGTTTGAGTTGCCTTAACTTATTGGGTTTTATAGTATTCAGCTGGTTTGAGTTTTCTTCATATATCAGGTTTTACTATGCTCAAATTGCTTCATTTACTCAAATGTATTAAGTTCACAGTACTCGAAGATTCATTTTTGAACTTAAATGGTTTGTTGCTGTCGGTTCCCTCACATGCTTTGAGTCACCTTCACTTTTTGGGGATTACAGTGAACTAATGTCAATAATGATGCCAGAATCTCAAAGTTCATAATAAATATCAAAAACGATTATTTACAATAAAAACCATTATTAATAGTTCATTTAGACTCAATAGAATAATTAAGGATTACGCTCTTCTAGGACACCCAATCAATTTATGACCAAAATAAATCAATAGTCAAACTACTTGTTGCTTGGTTTGATGCTGTACACAAAAAGCAGAGCTGGAGTTTTATGCATCTCTGAGATTACCAGAAAAAAGCATGCAAAGTTCTCCTCAACGATTCACTCATATAAACTACTCCAAATGTACTGTGATTTCATTTGTTTGAACCAATCTGAATTAGGGTTGTGCGATATTGAAAAAAAAATCAAACATTGCCATATTTTGTTATGCTAGGATTTATATTGTGATTTGCATATAATTTCACCAGATGATTTGAATAGCTCTATTCAGAAAGATTTCATTAATTTAGATCGACTGAATTGATCGAGTTGTTTTCTATATTGTATTTGCAAAAAATTACAAGCATATAAAGGAAAAATAAAAGTTAAATAAATTTTGTAAGGTTAAAAATAGTTTAAAAAGCCAAAAAAAAAAAAAAAAAAAAAAAACGATGGTTATACATAATTAAAATATACACATTTAAAATATCTTTACCTTTTAATCTTTAATAAATACAACGAATCCTGCGGTGTGACTATTGCGGATACACACGGACAAATGATATATTGTTCAGACTTCTCTGAATCATGACATATTTGAATCAATATTCAACCAGTTTGCAGTTTCCTAAAAACTAGGACACATTTTCAAAGCAGAATAACTGACTTCATTGTTTTTTAGATAAACAAGAATTCTCACTTAGCATGTTTCTAAAATATCTGCAAACATATTACGGTATTGTTATGCTTTAGAAGAGTAAAAAAACGTACATACAGCACCTTTAAGGACTGTCATTTGCTTTTTGCCTATGTTAGTTTTGAGTTTGCTGTCAGAATTGAAATCAACAACCCATTTTTAAAACGAAAGCATTTACTTAATTTCTGAATGAATCACCTGTTTGAAAGGATCAAGTGAATGAGTCAATGTCTAGCCCATGAAGTCATTTACTGCCTCCTTCAAGCAGTTTTACTTTCTTGTTTAGTACATTCATTGAAAAAAAAAAAACACTTAAGCCTCAAATGATCAAATCACTTGTGAAATATGTGAAGTACATGTGAAACGTGTGGTTTACAAACTTTTTCCTGTGACCCAATGCGATCGCATGTGGACACTAATGTGCAATCTGTGAACAGCACAGTTGACTTCACATGAAAGCTGATCCAAAAACCACATATCATGTAAGCTTCACATATTTCATGAACATGAGATGGCATATGTGGAGCTTATGTGGTTTTTTGGTTGTTTTAGTTACCATTGTGTGAAAACCCCCCCCCAAAAAAATTACTGTTAGTGTAATAGGGATATGCTATCGTCATACTTTATGCCCATAATAGGGCTGCACACCGTATTTTTTTAACATCGATATTACAATGTGCACATCTGCAATAGTCACACTGCAGGATACGCAATGATGTGTCTGAATTATTGTTGACCAGGACCTACAGAACACATGCAATTTTTGGAGTCATTGCTAAGTTTGACCATATTAGAGTGAAGGTTTATCATTTACTTGTTTAAGACCTGTGACTGAGCTTTTCAAGAGAGTTTGAAACATTTAGCACAAACAATTATGATGTTTAAAAGTGTAACAAAGATTTATTCTATTAAATTGTTTATATCGAAATCATACGATTTATGCAAAAATAAAAGTTACTTTTTTATTTAAATTTTTGTCTCGTTTCTAGTCCAAATATCTAAATTTCAAAGTGAAAATAAGATTTTCCTTCATAACTTACTTGTTTTAAGAAGAATTTCTGACTTTATTTCATCAAAGGTGAAAATAAAACTATATTTTTACTTACCATGACATTTTTGACATTGTGATTATTTAATTTCTGTACTTGAATACTTATAGACTGTGAAACAAAGCTATTCAAACAACCAATGAGAAACTGGATTCATATTAGGGCTGCACAATATATCGTTTCAGCATCGATATCACAATGCGATCATTCACAATAATCACATCGCAGGATATGCAATGCTGAGTTTGTATTAGAATGTATCATTTGCACGTGTTTTAGATGCCTGAAATTGTAAAATGGCTTTAAAAGCATTCAGGTATGAGAAATTGTACCATTTGTGACCTTAACTACAATTATTCTTATTTAATTAATTTTATTTTTATCACTCAGTTACTGTACTTGAACACTGTTAGACTCAGGAAACGATAAAATACTTTAATTGAAACTGTATCTTTTTTTTTTCAAATTGTATTTATAACTTGTTATGCATGAAAATACTCACAACACATGCAAATACAGAAATCCACTGCAAATAGCAAAGGCAACATTAAAAATGTGTCAGGGAGACCCCAAATTTTAAAAATTTGTTTATTAGATTAGATTTTATGGAGATTCTGCACTCCCATTGCAAAATCATCCCAATCGATCTAAAATTATAAATTCTTTCCAATTAGAGATATTAAGTCATCTGGTAATAGGGCTGGACGATATGGCAAAAATTTATATCACAATATGGGCTCTATTTTGATGGTCTATGCACAGAGCGCAAAACACAGTACGCAAACGCTTTCAGGGCGTGTCAGAACGCATTTTTGCCAATTAAAGGACGGGAAAATCCGCTTAGCGCCGTGGCGCATGGTCTAAAAGGGTTGAGTTTATTTTCTTAATGAGTTATAGGTGTGTTTTGAGAATAAACCAACTAGAGTCTCATCTCCCTCTCCCTTTAAGAGCCAGCTGCATCACGCCATAAGCGCATTCGCTATTTACAGGACGCAAAGTAAGTCTAAGTGGAAAAACTGAGCATTTCACAAGCAAACAGTTAACATTTTTTTTTAACAGAAAACTGTTAAACAGAGCATCTACTGCGTGAGAATGAGAGATAATCGATTTACTTTCACTTTCGCTCTTGGATAGGGAAACCTTTACGCACAAACATCAATTAGTATATAAATAATTAATTTCGTTTGTTAAGAGCAAATATTCGTTTCAAAACTATTTCTAAATTCAGTTCTAATTTCCAGCAAACAAATAAATGAACAATAATAACAAAATGTGCTCGAAAACCTGAGTTATATCCTAAAACACATGCTGTGCCCCATATGGTCTAAAACCTGACAGGTGGGCAAATCTAAGCTTTTTTTTAATAAGACTAATATAAATATGGATATAGTAAATAATGCTGCTAATAATAATAATAACATTAAACAAAAGCAAATTGTTATGAATTAACTGAAAAAGCCTCCCCAGATGAAGAAGACATAAAGCAGTGATTTTTCATATTTATGTAGGCTAGAAAATAATACGTTTTGTAATATTTTAATCCTTTTTATTCATATCCTATATATATTCTTATTATATCCTATATATATCCTTAATATTTACATTTTTTCATGTGTAAAGATATTTGCCTATTGCTCTCTTGTGCGTATTAAGCAGTGCATAAGCGAGGCGCAACTCTGCGCTGGAGTTTAGACTGGGTTTGTTTTGGTCTAATGAAAAATCTATTTTAGTTTCTCAAAATAGCAACGAGCCAGCAGTGCGCCTCAGAACGCCTTCCTATTTAGACCAGAACGCCTATGGGCGCACATCTGAGCGCTAATGCATTTGGTATTTAAACAGCGTAGCGCAACGCCTCAAGACGACTCTTGCGCCAAGCTGAAACTACCAAAAGACTATTGCACCACGCCTTGCGCCACATTACGCCGGGTGTATGATAGAGCCCTATGTTTCTTAATTTTGGTGTATTTGGTGTCTGTGTCAGAAAGGTGTACAGTGAGGTGACAGGTTGGCTTAAACTTTTATGATGCCTCGTCTTCTGACTCTCAGTATGTTCTATCGGGTGAAAAAGATTTGATGTTTTCCTGATGCTAGTTGGCATTACTTTCCCGCACATTTTGAATGGGCACTGAAACTACAAGTTTTTTAGAACTTAAAAAGCCGAACAACTTCGACAACACTGCATTCATCTTTTTTCTCTCATCAACTAATTCGTCTGCACTCTTACCTGTAAAGCTTGTTCCCTCATATCCGTATTCAGGGCACTAATTTTGTAGCATTTTGTAGCTTTCTGCGACAGAGCAGCTAAACCAACTGCTGAGCGCTGGCAGCATGTCTCTGTGATGTGCGTCATCACGAAAGTGACATCATGCTCTTTCTGACGGCTGAGCACGGAAAGTCATTCAGTGACGAATAAAACAAGGTATACTATCTTGTATTTATAATAAAACATACATATGCAAATTTATATCGAAATACCAGAAATGGGTTTAAAAATCAGAACACCGTTATTGAAAAAAAACGATTGCGATATATATTGATATTG